AAGAAAAAGTTATCTATACAAATTAAATCAAAAAACCGTGATTAGTATTTGAAACTCTGGGAGCGGAAAATTGTTAACCATTTTCCGTTACGCCATCCAAAAATTTGTAGAACTAATGTGGCTCAGCTAAGACGAAGATTTTCTACATTTCATATCCCACCCATTTCTCCTAAACAAATCATATATGTATATAATATAGTGTGCTGCTTCAGATAACTTTACAATGCGGTTATTTATAGTAGTCTCCTTCGCTTACAGTGATTTTACATGTTTGGAAGGGTATTTCCTAATTCAGAAGATATTTAAATTCCGTTCAATTAATCGATTTTATTATACAAATTAGCAAGAAGAGAACGCTGTAGTAGTTATTAGCCTCTACCCAGTAATATTGAGCATATTTGAAAGAAATTTACACTGAGTTAATATTTACTGCCAAGGAAACATATTTAGAATTTCTCCATGGGATAAAATGTTTTCGCTTAAAATTATGTCGTCAAATCGTTAAGAATTGATTAGACAAATAATAAAAAGAAACCCCAAAATATTTTTCATGAGTGAAGCGTCACTGGACTTCCTTTTTAATTTACAATCAAAGGGTATAATAATAAAAATTGGTAAATTAAATACATTTTTTCTCCTTTCTTTATATGGATCTCTAAAAATGTACTTACCCGGCGTAGCGGAGTTTTCCTGTCCATTACCTATTGAACCAAATCCAACAGGGGACATCGTTGGCGAGTGATTTTCTCTTTCTTCTTTTTTCATATTTACTAAACTGGCTAAGACATCAGTGGGCTCTTCCTTGACAGTCAGACTGGATGTAGACCCTGTTCCGCAGCCGCCGCCAGCTGCAGTCCCTTTTGCTTTATTAGAACCTATTTCTGAAAAGGTCATTTTTGGCTACTTTTATAAATCTTTTTATGGAATATTAGGGACAGCTTTAAAATAAAATGCACTTTTAAGCCACCTATAGCAATTATGCTACTGCCTAACATGGCTATTAAAAATTCTTCAATGCTTTAACTAGAAAATTATTATGACATTCCAATTTGCAACTTTTTCGATTAATAACTTTTAGAATTTCCGAAACTGAGAGTTAATCCAATTTTGGATTTTTCATGATGTTTGATTATATAAATCAATAACATACATAATTCCATCAAGGTGAAAGAATATTTTAACTGTTTTTTAATATTTAACTGTTAATATTTTAAATGTTTTACTGTTTTGATTCGAGGTTTGGAAATTTTAGTCAAGTTTACAAGTTTGTCAGTTTTAAATCTAAAATTATACATATTGTGAAGAAATCAAATTAGATGAGTGCGAAGGTAAAAGTAAGAGTGTGTGAATTCTTTAGGCAAATTGTAAATCAGTCTTACCGGCTTCCTCGTCCTTCGCACAACATTTCTTTTTCTTTGATTGCTCGTCACAATCTATCATCTGAGTAAGGCCCAATGTAGCAGACACATTGCTGCTGTTCGAGTGTTCACTGCAGTTTTGTGGAGAAGCGACCAGGCACGAGTTGATGCTGCTCGAAGAGTTTTGCCTCAGCATAGTGGGTCGCTCGGACGCAATATTTCCACCTCCTCCGACTGCGACTCCTGCAGTGGCAGCATTATCACTAGATGATAGTCCGTTTTTCTCTGTCCCTTCGTCTGGCGTCACTTTTATTTGATCTGGAAACAGGGAGTTATTATAATTCTTCACAAGGAAAAATCAATACATAACACTTACCAGGCGACATAGTAGAAAACGGTTCGTTTTTAAGGGTCTTTGGAGAACTTCTGTTGGTGGCCGAGACCCCATTCCCAACTCCAGGATTTGATCCAGATGCACTTGTTGAGGCATCGGAGTTTGGTTGCGGCTGTGCTTGAGCTGGACTGCGGGGAATTGTTGTTGAGAGCATTGTAGTAGCTCCTACAAATTGAATCCCTTCAAATCGACCTTCCTAATATCGCTTGTGAGTTTAATTGATGGAGTTGTATTGAAATTCCATCGTTCGACTGATTTTGCAGTCGGCGAACACAGTTGTGCAAATGTAGACGAAGAACTGCACTTATGCACTCAACCACTTATATGCGTGTTCTTACATCTCACAAATATAACACGAAGCAAAACCCGAGATCATTTTGAATTTTATTGTAGGCTTTTATATTATTTAATTTAAAATTGTTCAATGTGGAATTCGGTCACAATTTTATGTATATGTACATATGCATTGACACTTGCGAGCAACTTATTTAGCTAAAGTAATTGTGGGCATATATCTTTGTACCTTGACCACGCGCTTTGTTAGCAGGAGACGAAAATTGCCAAAATTATTCGGAATAAACAGATTAGCCCGTATAATAAGAAAAACAATCTAATATATAAAAAATGTAATTACTGTCCTCATATGTGACCAGACTGCAATAATACGAAAAACCCCAGTTTTGACTTATTAATATTTCCTCCATACTAAAATTCAGGATCTGGTAGCTTTAGAAGTCATAAATAATCAGGGTATTCTATAAAAATACACCATACAATTTAGACCCGTTAAGTTGCTGTGACTATTAAACATAACCACAAGGCGTATTCCCATATTTTGATTCTAAACTAACTTCGACACTTTTGCAGATGTTTTAATGGAAACACGATATTATGTGATAATTATAAGGTAACGATAAATTCATGAAGAATCCATTATAAGAAATACAGCATTTTCCCTCCTTTGATCTGAACATTTTGTGAATATTGGTTGTAGAAAGTTTCGTTTTGGTTGAGTTCATAGGTTTTTTTTTTATTATATCTGAGCGATAATCGGGATATTGCACCTCTATTTCTTCTATATATATCTGACAGCTGACGTTGGTATTCTGCCCAATATTAATTTAACCTGTAAGAAGAATAAAAGATTCTTTGAAAAGTACGTAAAAAGCAGATGGAAGCGCTTCCAACCCTAAAAAGTACATATATTCTTTACAAAGATCAATAGAGGAGTCGACCTGGCCATGTCTGTATGCCTGGCCGTATGAATGTTGTAATCTATGAGGTTGAGCATGCTAATTATACTGATGGTTACGCTGTACGTTGCCAAGCCCTCTATAATTCCCACTAATCACGCAAACTAGTCATACTCAATTCTTAAGAACAATTTTACATATTTTAGGCTTTACAAAAATTTTTTTTACAAAATTTCAATCCACTCTTGTCTAATATCGGCATGTAAATATGTTTTTAATTTATATTGAACAATGCCTTTTGCAATAAACAAGTTTGTTGCTTAAACGAATGCCAGAGCAGCTTTGGCTCCGCGTGCGTTTATATGAAAACATTGCATTCTTGATATGAATGCTTTCCTCATATATATAATTCTTTTATATAAACGCTGTTTTGCCGTTAACAAATTTGAAAATGTTTTTTTTTTTTTTGTTAATTGCAGATGATTTAAACACATCGAATTCGGCAATTAGGAAGTTAAGCAAAATTTTCTATGAAAAACAAACTCATAGATTCAATCGAAATTTTAATGTTCTGAGAAAATCGTTTTTTATAAAAATTACACAAATCGAAAGCAATAGGAATATGGCAAAATAACTCTGATTTACTGCATATATATAGAATAGATAGATTGGATTCAGTGGGAAAAGCCTATTATCCAGTGCCACAGCAACACATTAATATACAAAATTAAAAGGACGTCAATTATTATCCCTTTATTCACAAAAACGGAGCTGAAAATTTAAATTATATAATACTCACACTATGTTTAAAGCCCCTAAAATTTGTTCTTAAGATTAGCCACTGATAATTGTTTTATTCAGGGCTTCATATCGTTTTATTATCCCACCTGTTTCTCTGGGGAATTGAAATATCGGCCCTGTTACAGATCCATTTATGATGGATTTGAAAGAATGTAAAATTTCATGTACGTTTTCAAGACTTTTTTCCAAAACATTTAGAAACATTAAATATTTAAAAATTCCTATCAATTTTTTTTTTAGGTTCACTGATGACTTAAGTTAATTAGTCAACAAAGTCTAATTTTTCAAAAATCACGTTTTGGATTCCGATTACATTTGCAATAACACTGGGACTTAATCAATACCAGTCCTACTAGACCGTTTTTTCTTTTTGGTATTTTCCACATTGCACCGTTAACAATAAGAAAGAAGTTCGCTAATGAGCTAGTGGAAGTCAAATTTCAAATTTTTTCTGGCATATCTATCGATAGAAATTGGGAAAAACAAATAATCAAATGAAAAACATAACAAAAATTGTTTTGATGTGTGGGCGTAACAGTTTTAGGCGGCTTGTAGGCGTTGGAAGTGGACAAAGTGATTTTGGTATTCCGATAGCAAAAAAAAAAAAAAAAAAAAAAAAAAATACTTCCCTTAGTTTTGGGCGGTTTGTCGGCTTAGCAAGAAGATTTATAAAATCAAATATACCTTATAAAAATATTTTAAAAAATGTGGGCGTGACAGTTTTAGTCAGATTGTAGATGTTAGACTGGGCTTGGCATCAGGAAAAAAAATTGTCTCTTGAATCTACATGCTCAATCTCAATCTTTATATGTAGATTTTATAGTTGCTGAAATCTCGACGCGTATACGGACGGACAAACGGAGATGGCCAGATCGACTCGGCTACTTATCTAGATCAAATATATACATATATATGAAATATATAAATATTTATATATATATACATGCAAATCAAAACGGCTATAGAAATAAAAGTAAACTGAAATAAATTGTGGTATTTGCAAAACAAAAATATATACATACACTTTAAATATTTTTGACGCGTTTGACAGACGGGTGTTTAAATTATTTATTGCTTTGCAATGGGAATTTAAAATGTATAATCACTAACTAACATAACTATACATATACAAAGAATGAATTTTCTTTTTTTTATTACTTTTATTTTATATTTTATTTAAATTTAAATGTTTTGGTGTGGGGGACATCAACATGAGGGGAGTACCTAGGATGTACTTGTGTAGGGGTATAAATAAAAATGACTTGTACAATTCGCTTTTATACGAAAAAAAAAAGCTGGCTGCCCAACACTGCCACAATGGTCGCGCCAGCGCCTGAATAAAATCAATAAATCAATACTAAAAGTAATTGTAATCCCTAGCGTCTGTACTCTTTCAAAACAGGCATCATTACGCTGCTACGCACAAGTATTTATAAATTCGGAGAATACTGAATACACATTTGTGTAAACAATAGGACCTGTAAACAGTTGTATGATACATTAGATGGATCTTTTAAATAAAAACGCGTTGGCCATTTTAAAAATTCGTCTTCAATCCTGTTCTGTTTAAAGTGAAGCAACTTATGTACACATAGATCCTGTGCTTGTTTTGGTTGATGAAAGTCGTTAGGATATTCGGAAAGATTAAAGTCTTACTGCCTAAACATATACATATATATACACACACATATATATATATATATATATATATATATATATATATATATATATAAGTGTATAAGTGTATGCTTTCAACTACAGATGTACTCATTATAAGGTAATCAGCTGAAATTTAACCTTTGGCAGCAGAGCTCATTAGCTGAGCGGAATAATTGAGTTCCCAACCGAAAACAACTGCATTGCTTTGTGTCTAGCTACATATGTATGTATGTACCTGTATTTAAGAATATATGCTCGGCTTCGCTGATAAGGTTTGTCGTTAATATTTTTAGAAACCTGTGAGAAGTCTGGTTTAAGCTGTTGTAGCGTAATAACCATGCGAGTTTTGAAAATCTGAAAACATAGGTCGAAGTCTGCTTGCTTAGAAATGCCTTTGTTTGGCAAAAAGGATTCTGGCAAGAAAGCCAAGGCGAAGGACATAAAGGAGCTTAATAAGCAAGTGTCAATTGAAGAGAAATACAATCTTCACGGACTTCTTGGGACGTACGTGCTAAGCAGGAACATTTTAAAGTACTTTAATCATTAACCATTTTTCACCGCTTCATTAGTGGAGCCTTTTCAGAAGTACGCCTAGCTGAAAGCAAAGATCCACCAGGCGAACACTTTGCAGTGAAAATTATCGATAAGAAAGCGTTAAAGGGAAAGGAAGAATCTCTGGAGAATGAAATTCGCGTCTTGAGAAGGTAAGAATCTAAATAATTTAGAGTTGACGATGAAGGAACTTTAAATACTAAATCATCTGCCGTATAGTATAGAAACCCGTTATAAATAAAATGAAAAGCAAAATATATTTTGTGCCTGTAAACGGAAATAAAATATGAAATTTACCAATAAGAGTACAATAGTGAAAGACAAAAATGATCAATGTCTCATTTGACCTTCAAACTTTGAACGAAATAATTCCTTGTTATACATGTTAGAATTCGGATTTTTTAATGAAGTTTACAAAAGAAATTTTGTTTGCCAAAGCTAGCTTCTATACTTGTTTACCCCTCAAAAAGAATACCTCGAATTGACGTGTTAGCATAGTGTACTTTTATTTTTAAATATTCTTTTAATTTTTTTGAAATCATTTCCGCTGATAATAGTGCAGTTAGGAAATTATGTTTATAAAAGATCGCTATCGAAGTTGATTAGAGGTCGCACGTTTGATATTAATTATACCCGATACTCGTAGATACGCCTACAAACAGCCACAAACTGACATTGAAAAATATGTTCATTTATTTTCACTTTATTATTGGTCTTGATAATTTCAATTGATATACCAAAAAAAAGTTTTGCCAAGATTACTCTAACGCCATATTTTTCATTTTGTTATTTTCTTGTAAATTTCTATCGATATGCCAAATCAATTTTGAAATTTCTTGTTTGCACTTCCACTAGCTGATTAACAGGTATCTCGAAAAACTAGATTGTAAATTAAAAAAAAAATTTTTTTTTTTCAAAATGCATTTTATTTTACATACATGTTGCATAATGTTCCTGATGATAATTATACTAATTACTAATAATAATACTATATACTCCGCATAGGAAGTAAATACTGTTAAAATTAAATTACCAGGGGTACGTTTCTCACGCTTAATGTTAAACTAAATAATAGAAATTAAAGAAAATTCGACACAAAAATTATTGTTAATATATATTCATAATTATAAGTTCGTATTACTTATTTACAAGTTGGAGCATTTAATTATTAATTAATTGATCTTGTCCTCTCACATTTTTCGCACCAACAAAATAAGACTTCTATTGATAAGGAGAAGAAGCTAAAATATTTTCTTTTTAAATTGGTTTTTATTTAACATAAATGTTACATAACATATTTTCTATAACATTAATTCCAGAGAGGATCTGATCTCATTTTCTCTGCGGCATTCTTTCAGTCACCCTCAAATCCCTCTTTTAAAATCTAGAAACCGAGGCTGCTTTTGCTAGAAATTATCGACACTGAGATCGTTTTTCTTATGAGAATATTTTAGACCACTGAGTACGCTGATACAACAGATATCTGTTTTATTCCTTCTAATTTTTTCTGGGTGTTTGGGTCGCCTTTTTTTTTTTTTTTTTAAAGATCACATTTATTAATATCACAAATATACTTTAAACGAACTTGAAAGTTCAAATATATTTGACGTAAATCCTATTTTAGATCAGGTCATTTGAAAAATTTTTGTGATTTATTTAAATTAACAAAGAAGGCTCTGCTCTGAGAGGACTTCTGATACTGATTAAGAATATACATATATAAACATAATTCATATATATTTAGATTTAAATAAGAGATTTTGGTTGAAATACAAAAATTAAAAAAAATTTTTTTTACCAAAGTTAGTATGAACTAGTTCATAGTCTTTGCTCAAAAATCTTTATTTCCTTGCCTTTTTAATTTGATTTTCTTGTTTTACAAACTCGTTCTTGTTGTTTGCTTAATTTACTTTCTTTTCATGTTTAGGTTCAGTGCAAATCATTTCGACGGCAAATGTCCAAATGGAACGCGGTGAGTTCATATCCCAATCCCATTTTGAACTTACTGTGCACTCGCATATAGAAATCAGTCTAAGATAAGCGATTCGAGGCTTCTGTTACATCACATTATATTAAAAAGAGCGTCTTAAGGCTGAACTGTACGTTAGATATTGAGTTAAAGGAGTATTTAAAATCTTTTGGGTTTTCTTACATCCCACGAGGGCGAACAATTATTGCTTGTATTTTGTTTATTCCAGCGATGATACCCACAGAAAATCAAGGGACTACAATTTTTCTTTCAGGTTAACTCATCCAAATATAGTGCAACTCTTGGAAACGTATGAGGACAAGTCAAAGGTGTATCTCGTTATGGAGTTGTAAGTTAATGTTATCTGTATCTAGTTGTCTTACTTTTATTTTTGGTACTTAAAGGGTTACTGGTGGGGAACTCTTTGATCGCATTGTCGAAAAGGGGTCCTACACTGAAAAGGACGCTTCTCATCTTATAAGACAGATACTAGAAGCGGTTGATTATATGCATGAGCAAGGTGTCGTCCATCGTGATCTTAAGGTAAGACAATGTTATTTGATTTTTGTCTTGAATGATCATAATTGTCACGTAGAAGAAAAATATATATATGTATAGGCAGCGGATCTCTAAGCTATATAAGGTTTAACAAAAAGTAATAGATATCAGCCTCTCCAAGGCAATTTTTTCTTTAAAAAAAAACGGATGAACAAGGTTTTGTAACGCCCTATTTTTAATTAAATGATTTTAATTGTGTCATAGCCAAACCGAGGCCTAGAACTCCAAAAGTACTTTTAAGTCCTATCCCAGACATGCTTGACATGCTGCGTATATGCCTATATACAAATAACTTACACAAAGAATTAATAATTTATTTAATTGCCAAAATTCGTGTATGCAATTTAAAAATTTTGTTTGTTTCTGCAATTATAACAAATGTAAAATATAATACCAAACAGATATTGTGCCAATGCGATATTTCACCTATTTAAACAAAGAACGGTCCATTAAGTAAAGTATTTGTATTAAATACTATATTAAATTGTTTCTTGTTTGTTTTTTAAAAACCTATGATGATTTTTTATAGCCGGAAAACTTACTCTACTATAGTCCTGACGATGATAGCAAAATAATGATTAGCGATTTTGGCTTATCTAAAATGGAGGATTCTGGAATTATGGCTACAGCCTGTGGAACTCCAGGATATGTGGCTCCTGAGGTCCTGGCGCAAAAACCGTATGGAAAAGCCGTCGATGTGTGGAGTATTGGAGTGATATCATACATTCTTTTATGCGGCTACCCTCCATTTTATGACGAAAATGATGCTAATCTTTTCGCACAGATTTTAAAAGGTGTTATATAAAAACAGTGAAGGAACCTAACTTCGGTAAGCCGATGTTTATAGATAGATCCCTGCACAAATCAACAGTGTTCGAAACATGTTTTTCTTCCAAATATTTTTACAGTACGATTCTAATATGTTCAAATAATCAAATCCCATGTTCAAAAATAATCCCATATTCCAGATTCTGTGGTTAAAATTGTAACTGTGAATATGTTGAAATTCTGATAATTTTCGATATCACATTCCTGATTTGGGATAAATTTTAAAGATTTGCAAGGTTGAGTTTTAAAGACTTAAACATTATATTAATATATAAATTGCAGGGCTTTTGATTAAAGCCATAATTTTATTGATCATGCTTTGTGTTCAAAACCTTACCAAGGCTTATACCAATACCAGATATACCTTATACCAGACACCAATACAACTTCCGTCCAGTAGGTTGGTTAAATTATGGTTTTATAAAAAAAGAGACTTTTATTTACCAAGAATCTATAATATAATTAATAATTATAATTATATATAAATAATTAATAATTATAATTATAATATTAATATTATATATAAAAAATATTAAATATATATATCATATAAGTATAATAAGAATTTGGGCTTTGGAACAATTGACACAAAATCTTATTAAGACTATTTTGAACACTTTCTGTGTTTATCTGACTAAAATATTTTTACGTAAATACTGTTGATTCACGTAGGGTTCTATTGTATGCCCTTGCAGAACTTTACGATGACATGTTATATGTGTATGTACATGTAAAATATAATCGTCCGAGCCTTAATCCCTTTTTTAATATACTTCTCGATTAAATAGTTAGACAACAATTATATTACCCTCTGCACGAATATAAAACCATCCCTTGATTAAGGCAGGTTTCTCTAATAAGCTTGTTTTTTAAAATCATTGATTCATGTTTATGAATAAAAGTTCATAAATTAGACATATTTATTTTATTCTATTTGTGATTTTGTTTATTTAAGAGCCGCCTCAAAATAACTGCCGAAATACGCTGGGTGACAAATAACTTATGAAGGAATCATATAATTGATAAAATGATTTTAGGAGACATTTGCGACTATATAAATAATATTTATACTTAATTAGTATCAACATGCCTGTCTGTCCGACCGATTATGTGCAAACTAATCTCTCAATTTAAATGCTTTCTGTATGATAGAAGCAGAACGGCTGATAATATTCCATAAAGTAAATAAAGTAATAAAGTAAATGTAATGTAATATTTTGTTTTTATTTTTAATGAACAAATTAAAGATTATAGATTATATACGATTTGTTGAATTTTATGAGACATGAATAGTTTTTTTACTTTTGTTTTACTTTTACTTTTTAAGTTCAGAAAATCAGAGCTTGTAAATTGTTCTTTCTTCCTATATGATTGATCACGTATTAACAAAATTATATTTATCTTAGGCGACTTCGAATTCGATTCACCCTATTGGGATGAAATAAGCGAGTCCGCAAAGCATTTCATTAAAAACCTTATGTGTGTGACGGTAGAGAAGCGGTATACTTGCAAGCAAGCACTTGCCCATGCTTGGTAAGGATTAAACCAAAAAAAAATAGTATATATTATTGTTATTATATTATATATAAAATGTATCGTTATAAACTAGGATTTCTGGAAATGAAGCTAGCAGCAGAAACATTCACGGAACCGTGTCAGAGCAATTAAAGAAAAATTTTGCAAAATCTCGTTGGAAGGTCGGCGTAATAGATTATTTAAAATAGCAATGAATACATGTTTTAAATTACTTTTTTAGCAAGCCTACTACGCCGCTACAGTAATCCGCCAAATGCAGCGAATGGCGCTTAACAGCAATAGCAATGCTAATTTTGATTCTTGCAATAGCAGTAACCAAAAAGACTCTACAACTCCAACGGCAGCGACTGGAGCATGGACTTCTGATGTTCTCTCATCGCAGCAATCTGCACAAAGTCATGTACAAGAAGTCAGCAAGTCGGGAGGCAGCACAAATGCATCACAGTAGCGAAGTTGATATTCAAAATAATGTTACATATATGATGTTTTGATTACATTTTTGAATTTTAACTATTGTTCTAGTCTAGTAAAAATCTCGTACTTACGAATCGGATAATTTTTCAATTGAAAATGCCAAACAAAACAAATATGATGAGCATGCGCACCTGCACCGTTTCATCTCTTGATACTATTGAAGGCGTAAGGTTACTGCTTAACTAACACTATACGCTGTTAGAATTCAAATTGACGATTTACATTTTGGCGAAAGTTTTATTATTAAAGTCCAGAACTTACTCAAACAAATTATACGCTGATGCTTTGAAAGAATTTCTTTTGTTACTCAGTTTCCAATGTTTAGCAATTTTTAGGTATCTTTTTGAGTTTTTCTGAATTCGATAAAATATTTGACTTTTTATGTTACAAATCTTTTCAAACCAACCTTTGCAGCAATCTTGTATATTAATAAGAGTAAATTATTTTTGCAAACTTTATACTTACTTTTTTTTAGCTTTTAAAATAATTGTGATGGTCTTGCACTATTATTTTTTTTGTAAGGTCTTTTTAGATTATCATCTACTATTTTATTACACTTTTAGTGATAAATACTTATTTAAACATCTATTATTTCTAGCTTTTTGTTGCGTAGAATAGTAATAAAAGAATAATGAAAAGTCAGGACAACATTAATCCAAATTTAAAAAGGGTACGAGGAAACCCTTGTAAACCTCCGCGTTCCAGCATTTTATAGATCATTCTTTGAGATTCACCTTGCGACAGACAGTAAAATGGCCAGATTTTTGTGCTGAAAACGTCAGCTAATCAGTAATCATATATTATTTGTCATGTCACGTTTTCGTTTGACGTTGACTGGAAATATTTATTAATACGATGGGATAAAACCCAATTCACAACTTTTATTAATTTGATACTTATTAGTATTAGACTAGTAGGCTAATATTTTCTTGTAACAAATATTTATATTGAACCTCCAAAATGTGACCTCAACCAGGAAAATATTTTTTTTTTTTGTAAAACAAAACTTAATTGTGGTTTGTTTCTAAATGTATTATTAAATAAGATTATACTCGACTTCGAATATTCGATGCTTAGAAATAATACGGGTTTTAATTTACGCAGAAACGTTGTGATCATAAGCCCTTTTTATACTCGTAGAGTAATACCAAAGACATTACAATAACAAAATTCGTAACGGCCATACATTGGTTTTTCACTATGCAGCCACATTTTGGTGGCGGCAATAATTGCTCTCTTCCCGCTCGCTAAAAATTGAGAGCATAAGAATCGAAAAATAGAATTCACTTACTTGTGTGAGTAAAAACAGTAAGCAAAAGAATACGCTAGAATATGCTAGAATACGATTTTTGGTCAATTTTGATCTAAGAAACGAATTTGATTATTGTTTTGGTCAATTTCGTTTTAATATATATATCCCAGAAAATATTATTTCAGATGTTGATGCCGCGGATATTATTTTAGTTTTCTAACTATTGCTTTTCGTTATATTTTATGAATATATGTATATTTATTATAGGTCATCAATTATTTAAATATTGTTTAACATGTAGAAACTATTACTCATTTTTCCATTTATGAGATAGAACGCTGAGTTTAGTTTTTTTCTATCAGCTTGCACATTTATAAAATAAATACAAAAATGCAACCTGTTTATTGCAAAATTGAATCCTTGAGGCATAAGCCAGCGGACATAAGCACCACGTCGCAAGCTGTATACCCTAACGACAATTATTCTAGTATAAACTAATTTTTGTTATTAATTAGGTATTATTATGTACATTTATTCATCCGTTACTATTTCTATGCTGTATTCGAATAATTATCATGTCAAGGCAATGAGAAATTTGAGTCTTTTACATGATGGTCGATCAAAAATAATATAGATTTAAAGTCCATTAACTTGTAAGTGAAAGGCAATTTTGTCAAATTTGCACAAGCATACGTGCAATACACATACAGTGATCGACTGACAGGAGAGAGGTGCTCTTTACAAGAGAGGTGCTGTCTTTAAAACGCTCTCTCTCTGGCTCTTGAACAAAAGTTCGAGAGAGCCAAGAGCTTTCTCTAGGAGCCAGCACAAAAAAAAAGTAAACGGTAAAACGGTATAATAGATTCGTTGAAAAGTAAGTAACAGGCAGAAGAAAGCGTTTAGATTTTTAATTTTTGTATGTGTCTTGTAAATTTCCCAAAAAACCAAAATCTTGACTTTTATACGGACGAAACTGTTTTTGGACACTATTGAGTGCCAACACGAAATCAAATATTTGGTAAGTAATTTTTTAAATTCCATTAGAGTGGGGCAATTTCCTAAAGTCTTCAGAAACAATCTTAATTCTTCAGCTTCTATAATTCCCGAGATCTCGACGTTCATACGGTCAGATCGAATCGTCTACTTATCCTGATCCAGAATATATGTCTATATCGACTCGGCTCTTAATACTAAACTTATATGGTCAAAAATGTATCCTTTACTGCGTGGCAAACTTTTGACCAAAATAAATATATCCTCTGTAAGGATATGAAATAATTTGGCTTATTAAACTTTAAGATTTCTATATATAAGAATTATCGGAATTAAGCAATTAGATGGGTATAGGTAAGATAATCACAATACCGTTTTTTCTGTTTTAGAAATTTATAAGCTTGCCAGACAGACTCTAGTACACCAAAGACATTAGAATAACAAGATGCGTAACGCATATTTTTGATCGATTGCCACCATGTAAAAACTCTAATTTAGCAATGCCTTGACATGATAATTATTCGAATACAGCATAGAAATAGTAAAAGATGAATAAATATACATAATAATACCTAATTCATTTCACAAATTACTTTATACTAAAAAATTTGTCGATAGAGAATTCAGCTTGCGACGTGGAAAAAATATTTGTAGCTAGCAATTCTTAGGTGCGCTGGTCCTGCCTCGAGAATTCAATTTTGCAATAAACAGATTGCATACGTTTTTTTTTTAACTATGTAGTATATTTATTAGTACAAATTACTAGTATACAAGAAAAAAATGTATACTTATATTATCATGCAATGATACCAATGATGACCAATATTCAGTATTTGAAATGCAAATATTATTTAGTTGAATGTTTTTGTTATATTCTAATTTGATATTTTTAAAAACCGCGCAATTTTGGGTAGGTAGGAAAAAGCCAAATGTATTGTTTCTTCTTTTAGTTTCCCTTAATCTGTTTGCTTAAAGCTGACAAATACATACAACTCCTCGTTTTGCTACTAATTTTCCAAATATTAATAATATATCCACATTTATTCGCAATAAAAGTAGATTTTCTGATTTAGTAAAGCACAATAATATAAGTACGATAAGTAATTGTGCTAAGTAGTGCAAAATAAAGGAAATTTTTTAAGTGTACTTATTTTCCTAATTTTACGCGGTTATATAACGAAAACCAGACTAAAGAATATTAAAATAACTTCTTTAAAAAATAATAGTCATGGCATCCATTTTGAAATAATATTTTTTAGATCATATTACCACGAAATTGACCAAAATAGTAATCAAATTCGTTTCTTGGATCAAAGTTAACCCCAACTTCGGACTGAAAATCATCTTCTAGCACAACTACGCACACATGCACACTTTTTTCCATACTGTTTTCACTCACACAAGCAAGTGAATTCTCTTTTCCGACTTTTATGCTCTCAATTTTTAGCAAGCGAGCAGAGAGCAATTATTGCCGCCACCGAAAAAGTGGCTGCATAGTGCAAAAACAATGTATGGCCGTTACGCATCTTGTTATTCTATTGTCATTGAGTACACCATGCACTATTGTAAATTTTACATGTTTTTTTTTTGGCATAAATTAATATCTCGTGAACTTTTTAAGATACGATGATAATTTTTTTATTAGTCTTATACCCACCTCTACAATTATTTTGACAAAGTGTCGGACTTGTAAGTCTTATTTCTGGATTCTGCAGCCTCTTCTCCAAAATATCCGACAGAAAGAACTGGGTTTTCAAGAGTCTGTTTGGAGTGAACCAGAATCTTGTGAAAGGTCACTGTCATTGGAAGCCAAGGAAGCTTGTCAATAATTAGATCCCCGGTTTTAAAAATAATTAAAAAAAAAATAAAAATATTGGCAAAAAACAAAAAAACCATAACTTTATATCAAATCAGCGGATAAGAAGTTCGATTGCTGATTTTTCATTGCCATTGTAATAGCCTCCTCTTGTATGATCTAAAAGATCTTGTAGGCTTACTTTCGCTATATAAATATAAATATATAATATATAAATATTGGCTGGACGGCATCATTTTTTTAGCCACTGCCTTATAGTTGGGATAAATTGGTTCCTTTCTGTTCTTTGCGTCCTCTTGAATCGCACAGTACTGGTCCTTTGTAAGCCCATGTTGATCCAGAACTAAGGCCAGAGTCTCTTCAGCGAGAGAGCGCACAGGATTTTGTACGGGCTTGCTTATCCACTTCCTAATGATCTTCGCTTTAGCTGGGTTAATGGATAGTATTTTTAGTACTGCAGCCAGATTTCTGAACCCATTCTTACGTGCAGCTATACTCGACGCTTGCAACAATAAACCAGTGCTATGTTTCTAGAGCCTGGTCGGTTGCTTGCTTTCTCTGTCCTCTTGCTCGTTTCAACCCGAATGTTATTTTTGGACGACCAGCTTAACAACTTCGCTTGAATTTCCAAGTAAGTTCAAGCTAAGATTGCCTTCCGACCACGGATATTTTGCTGCAAGTCTATCCCGTTTGCTATTGCACATTTTCCAATTGCGCAACAAATTTACATGAAACATGCGCGCTTTTTCCCATAAATGACATTGATTCATTTCCAAAAGGCTCACAAATAAATTTGAATGTTGCATTCAGTTTCTCACAAGCTAGCCTTTCACGAAAAGGCGCAAAAAGTCGCAAATTATAACTATATGTTCGAATAGGGAATTAATCACTCTACAAATAACACACTTACTCAACAAATTTCAACAATTTTTTAAAACTCTATTAAAAGTTGAAATTTTATTTTGAAAGTTGGACGAGCTTGTTAAATACACAAATTGTTGGGTTTACACGCACAAAATAAGCAACATATTAGTAAAACACATGGTACACACCTGAAGAATGAGTATTCATTTCAAGTTTATGAGTCTTGTGGTTTAAAAGATATGAATTTAATTATTCACTAAAAAAAAATAGAGGCTTACCGATGGCACGTGCTTTATGTTTGCAACATCGACTTTTGTAATTTTTAACATAAGACTGTTAATGTTAATTTCCGTTACATAACGTAATGCTTTGATCAATTCTTAACCCGTTAAGAACATAATTTTCATAAATTTTAAGAAATTTAAAAAACACATTTATGCCAACAAAACAGGTCAAATTCCCATAGTGCCATGGTTACTCAACGACATGTGTACACAAGTTTTGATATTAACATTCTTATCGAGAAATAACTTTCTTTCTTACTAAATAAATATACTATTTATAATATAATTTATATTATATTAATATATAATTTTTATTAAGTCATCCGGCACGTTTAATGATAGTATTTGTTAGCCCACCTGTATATTTTTTTATCGATGTGTTTCGAGGGGCATTATATATTATTATTTTTACAGTCCTTAGTTTATTACAATATCTTTTCATTGATGTATTACTCTTCAAAATCGGACGATTAGGTTTTCGTTTTTGTTGTATACATATGTATGTGGAAGTCGCTTTTTGATAATTTATTCCACTGTAGTGGATTTTAATATATAGCAAACAGCTTAAAACACTCTCTAGATTGGATCGTCCTTATAAGACCTGTCGTCCACAATAAAATGTTGTATGCTAGCAGGTAAGCCTTATTGCTCAGCATTGCTAAGGCGTATTAGTATGCCTGTGGCAGGCAATTCTATATTATATTCCTTATATCAAAAGTTAATCTATTTAACAAGAACGTTGAGCTACAGGGTGCGTTATGAAAGTAATGCGCATGGTAACTACCTGTCGTAGCACGCTCGGACCTGTCTGAAAATTTGGGGCGGAGTCTCTCCTTTCCAACGCGCTCGGTCTCAGTTCGCTCTGAGCAATAGAAGTGGTAGGACGTGTCGTAGAGCGAAGTCATTTTTTCTGTTGTGTCACGGTGCGATGGAGCGTTCGCTGGAACAGCGGTACGCCATAAAGTTTTGTGTGCGACTTGGCAAAAATGCCACTCGGAGCTCTGTCGTTTAGATTCTGGATCGTACTCGAACATCCAGGATTCATCCCCAGTTACAGTAATATTTAAAAAACCTGGATCATTTCTAATCGATTCCAACAATTCTTCACAGCGCAAAACTCGAACGTTTTTCTGCTCCTCCGTCAACACCTTCGGCACAAGCTTCGCACAGACCTTTCGCATTTGTAAATCCTCCGTCACTATTCCATGTACCGCAAATGTTGACAAGTTTAGGATGTCAGCGATTGCCCGGATGCTTAACCGACGGTCTGAACTCAAAGTTTCTGAGATCTCGAAATGGACTCCTCCTTAAAGGCCTCTCGAAGCATTTGATAAGTTTCCGATGCATTTTTGCCAAGTCCTACCACATCTATTGCTCAGAGCGAACTGAGACCGAGCGCGTTGGAAAGGAGAGACTCCGCCCCAAATTTTCAGACAGGTCCGAGCGTGCTACGACAGGTAGTTACGTGACAATGAAACCATGCGCATTACTTTCATAGCGCACCCTGTATGTTGAGAACAATAATAAAAATTAAAAAATTTGGTGTTGCGAATTTTATTAAGGTAATAACTTGATATACGACCGAAAAACCTAATAGTTGTCAAGGTAAACGTACAAAAAACAACGTATAATAAAACTATAAATAAACAAACTTGACTCTAAATAATTAGAAGTCACTTTTTTTTGTTTCGTCTTTTTTTTTTTTCAGACCCGTGAATTCTTTTTTTTGTTACACAAACACGACAGAACCAATCGTCGTTGTCCTTCGGTGCAAAGGTTATACCAACACAAATCCTAAAATAAACGTTTTTTAAGTAAAAGTAGGATAAAGTTAGCTCAGTGCAATTATACCAATGATACCAAGCGTCGCATCCGTCACATCCAATCATCGCAGATCCATCGTCGACCTTTCCACAAGCGGGGCAAATCCATATTCGGTTACCCTCGGCGTCAACATATGACGATGGACGACTTGATTCCGTAATTTGCATAGCATTTGCATTTTCTTCGGATATATTTAGGGGAGAACTACATAATCCACTTTTTGGCACTGTTCCTGTACTATTGCTTATTACTGGTACACAGTTATTCATTATCGTACCAGGCGCCAACATCAACTGTTGTGGTAATAGAACGGAACTAGCCGAAAGCGTGGAAGAGGCAGCATTGCTGTTACTAGGGTTTAATAACCAACCGACAGAATTAGATGACGTTTGACTAACAGGAAGTGACGCGGTACGCAGCGCTATTGGGGCAGGTACTGGTAAGACTAACGTAGAACTGTTTCCTAAAAGCAGTGTATCAGCTGGAATAATATAGTTCTATTAAATTGTATATTAGTAATCGAATAATAACTTTCCGTACATGGTTTGTTTTTAGGCGGCCCGGTTACCAATGGGGAAAAACGAGCAAGCTCCGGAGAATTATCCCGTTCACGCTCCTTCTTTTCTAACGGAAAAATAGTTGTTTGCTTTAGTTTCCCTGCATGTGACAACTCATTTTCTGAAGACGAAATTAATGTAGATTTTCCGCTAAGTTTCAGTGTAAGTTTTGGTATTTGATTTGGAGACTGGTGTAACTTTGGAGACATTCCACTTGTGGCATCTAACGGTGGATTTATTGTCATGGAACTTGATTTCAATACAGGTTCAACGTTACTAGGTAAAGGCACCTTGGTAAATTCTTCTGTGTCATCTGGTATATGGACTAAAATCTAAAATATTTATTTATTAAAGTATAAACATGACTTTGAAAGATTTTGATGATTAAGCTGGTCCTAAGCATATTTACATATATATATATTTTTTTTAATTTAATTTTGGGTTTACGGAATAAGTTCAACAAATTTACTGTTTTAAAAATGTTTTCCAAATAACTTGCAATTTTTAAATGAGTTTGTGTAAACGTTACCACGACACAAGCACAAACAATAATAAAATATATTTTTTTTTATATTAAGGAATTGACACCAACCTGCTTATCTTTATCCTTTTTCTTTTCTTTTTTTTGCCTTTTATCAGTGGCTTTTATTTTTCGGTCAGATTTAAAAGATGGTAAACCAATCCGATCCTTTCTCTTTGATTTGTCTTTTTTCTCTTTTTTTTTTTTAATTTTCCCCTCCTTCACTTTCTTTAGCTTTTTATGATGTTTGCGTATTTTGGGTTCCAACGCCATTGGTCCAGTTGGTGTTATTGTAATATCTTCGTAGTTAGAAAATGTAGACAAAATACGGTGCTCTTCTGAAATTTTCATTTGATTCGGTACAATATTGCTTCCACCTAAGCTACTGAAAGAAGCTATTTTTGTGGAATTTGCCGAACCACTCATTCTCGACAAAGGAATTAGATCTGCGCCCCCAGCTAAACTGAACTTGTCACCACCCATAAAATTTGGCAAATTAAATTGCGGAAATGATGAATGTGGAGATAGCGTGTGCGTTACGCTTTTTACATCGGGAAAGCTCAATTTAACAGGTTTTTTTAATTTTTTAATTGATTCGTTAGAGCTTAGAGACACAAGATTTCTTAGTTCCATGTTGGATTTGTCTTCACCAATAGATGTAGCTGAAATAAACGAGGGGGGCTGTGATTCTGCAAAGCTGGTTCTAACATAAGTTGGAGATGATATTGGGGTTTTTCTTTGAACCATCTGCGTGTTGTGTAATGATTCATCTGAATCATCTGAAACCTCAATTGGATCATCAGGATCTCCAGATGCCTGTTTAAGTGGTTTCGTGTTCATTTTGCTTGTGGCCTGTGCAGATGATTTTTCAAAGCAAGTGCTGGCACAAGATACGCTTTTACCTACAGTTACAAATAAGTTATTTTTATATTAATAATATATTTACCTTTAAACTTACGGTCAGTAAATTTCATAGAGTCGGGTATCAATGGAGCAACGTTGCAGTAGTTTCGATCCATTTGCAAGTCAGTTTGCGTGGAAGGACGGCTCAGAAATTTATCAGTATCAGTAACTAAAACAAATTTTCGTTAATAAATTTGAATATTATTTTATGTTTCGGACGGCAAAAAATGCATTACAATTTGGCGTTAGTGAATGTCTCATTTTCGAATTTTTTTACTCTTGCTTAAAGTACACTTCAAATTTTAATGCAGAAGCAGACGCACCGTTTATATAATAATTTAATAAACAAGGAGGTGGTGTACTTATAATAATTAAAATAATTTAACAAATTTGTTTTATTATATAGAAAAAAATGTTCCAAAACTAAAGGGTTATTAATTGTAAGTCGATTTTAATTTCACATTGTTTCCGCGGCAGTTAAATGCTCTTAATGATCATTTCTTTTCTAAAAGTTAAGATGCTTGCAAAATATAAAAATATCTTATTTTACGTACCAGTAGAATCTTTAATTGATGGACAACGAACAGTATCCGCAACAGATCCTTCTGGTCCAGAATACTCTATGAACGGTGAAATAGGGATTTTGTTTCCGTGATTCCCAAAACCGACTAGACCAGTGACTGCAGGAAAAAGCCCGGGCCCAGTAGGAATAAGACCAGGTCGTGGTGGAAATTGCAATAGTGGAAGTAACGGAACCATTCCAGTTTGATTTCCAGGGTAAATTGATGCATTTGATAAGGCGCTGGAAACAGTTACAAATTTATCTGGACATTGTATATCATTATTTTGTTTGGTGGCACGAATAGAATTATTCAGTGTTGATGTTTTTTCAGGAGAACAGCCCTTGTTGAATTTCATTAAATTTTCTGGTATGCATGTATCGTATTTTGATTTGTACTTCTTTTTTTCCTTTTTAACTTTTGCATACAAGTTTTCCAAAAAATCATTCGAAGCCTGTTCGGTATTACACAAGTTGAGAGGTTCTGTTGGCGGAGATACGTTTAAAGAACTTTGTGTAATTAACACTGGAGATGATGCTAGAGGTAGTGTAATAGTTTGACTTGACTTTTTCTGTTCGACCGAATCAATTAAAGATTGCGATACAAAATTTGTATGTTTTATAACATTTTTCCCGCCAGGTTTGCGACCTCGCTTTTTTGGCTTTGTCGGATCAATAATTGACATTTCAACGTCTGCTTTAGTTAAAGGTATAGTTCGATCAAATATACCGCAAGGGTTGAATTTCATGCTCGAAACGTTTATGCTTTCAGAATTTGGACCAAGTGAAGGTGTAGGCGTTATAGTAGTCCCAGATGGAAGACTAATTAATGGCGGAGTAGTCATTGTGCTTCCAAATACACATAACCCTATTCCAGGAGGTACTGCAATCGCTCCATCTTGCCGTGATGTTCGTGGCTTAGAAATTTTCTTAAAAACGTCCAATTTACTTCGTTCTGGTTCTGATGCGATTTTTTTTGCTGGCAATAGCACTGGCGATTTTTGAATTACACATGGCTGCACTGGATTAATTGAACTTTGAAAATTACTCTCAATCTGGCTTATTGCTGTAAGTGGCTGACTAGGGATATCAGCTTGTAAAGCATTTTCAGTATTTGTGTTAGCTTCTATGGCAAGACAGTTCGAAGTTTGAGAATTCTGCAAAAATGATAACTCGTCAATGTCCGGTTGATGATCCTTTTGTTTATGTTTGGACTGCTTTTTGAATATTTTTTCTAAATGTTTTTTATTACTGTCGGATGATCCTCGATTGAATCGTTTTTTAGACTTTTTCATGTTTTGCAATTGGTTACTTGAGGTGTCACTTTGGTTCATTGAGGTCTGTTGATAAATTTTTAACGCTTTTCTTTGGGACTTCTCCTGAGATTTTTCAAAGGTGTTAATTATCTGTTCGCTTTTGCCCGTCTCGCATATTAAATCATGTTTCTGTTTCTTGTACTTCTTAGGTGTTGTAGCAGGTAATATTGTTGACATCGGATGGATGTTAGACGAATATATTATTGAAGACTCTAAATGCGCACTTGTCAATAATGCAGCATTTTGTGTGATCTTAGTTTCTGAGAATTGCTTGGGAATGATTTTTCGTGGATTTCCTGCTGTTTCTCTATCAGAAATAGCCAGGTTTGGAGAGTTTTCTACCGGATTTACAATTATCGACGATGAAAGAGGTGCATCCAAACCTAAAAATTTTTCTAAAAACACCGATACATAAAAATCTTTTAATCTGTGGTATAAGGATAGGTCCTACCAACTATATCCGGAATGAAATCTTCGGGTAGCTTGCCTTCAATAGCTGGACTTATGAATCCCCCGCTTGTCATTACAACGCTGCTCATTTCGCGGACTGAGCGACCAACATCCAAGTCAAAGGCATTTGGCTGGAAGGTCATGACCGCATTAGGGGAGATAGAATCAATGTGCCTGGTGCCCAACTTATCGGCCACACTTTTTAAATTTGAGCAAAACTCTTGCTTTTCCGAAAATTCTTTTTGAACTTCGTTCTGAATTTCACGCAGTTCAGGGTCCTGCATTGGTGGCAAATACTCAAATATGTAGACAGGTCGGGTTAGAGTTTCTGCGTTTCCAGGCTTAAGGAAGTTCATGTTTACGGATTTTCCAATGGGAAACTGCGGTACATCCCGGATAAATCCAACAGGCTCCACATTACCTATGTAGTCCAATAGTTCTTGAACATTTATGCTGAGATTTTTTATACTGAGGCGTGCATCCTTAAGGTTAGGCTCGATCCGATTTGCTATAATCAATAATATAAATTGATATCATCTAATATTTTTGTATAAACGTTACTCGTAGAGTAAATGAGGGTACTATGTTCGTTGATGGAAACGTTTCCGACCATATAAAGTATATACAGTGGTGGCGATTTGTTTGAGTTTTTCCCTGTTAATTTTGTAAGTAAATCAATATCTTAAATACTTTCAGGTATGTTTAGCACATAATAAGTAAATGTAAAAAAAAATGGTTAACTCTGAATGAATTCAGCATTTATATTCAGAATGGGGCGCGGAGTGCACTGTTCACCTGTAGAACGAGATATTATAAAAAAAACTAAAAAACGAAGGAAAAACAATAAGGGAAATTGCTGAAATAATGCACTGCTCTGCAAAAAAAGTGTTTTCCGCGATTCATTATAAAGATACGAAGGAGAAACGGGGCAGGAAGCGAGCCACATCCCAAAAGTTCGACGACCTTTTGATTCGAACATCCAAAAAAAATCCTTTATCCTTAAAATCCTTATGTAGTCGACGGACCTGAAAAATACTTTCCAGACATCAGTGTCAAGTCGAAGAATAAGAAATAGACTAATTGGAAAGAATTTGAAGGCACACTCGGTTAGGAAAGTTCCACTGCTTAGTAAAAAAAATATCACTAAAAGACTGTCTTTTGCAAAGCGACACCTAGACCGTAAAAACTGGAATAATGTTCTATGGTCTGATGAAACTAAAATTAATTTGTTCGGATCTGATGGCAAAATACGTCCAGACGTCCAAAAAATACCTCATTTGATCCAAAGGACACAAAAAAAAAAACAGTAAAACATGATGGAGGTAACATCATGATATGGGGATGCTTTCCCACGCTTTTTAGTTTTAAGAGTTTTGTTTCTATTATTTTTTCCAAGCGCCAAAAATGAAGTTAATTATTTTTAGTTAATATACAGATGAAAAAAATATTTTTCTTCCTTAATGCAAAATATACTTATATATGAATTTAAAAAAATAAAGATTAAAAAAAATTACTTTCGTTTTGAGCACAAAATTTAAAATCAATGATTCAACCAACGTGTTTCTATTATTTTTTCCACCACTGTATATTCTTGATCAGGATCAATAGCCGATTCGATCTGGCGATGTCCGTCTGTCCGTCCGTCCGTATGAACGCCCAAAACTGTCACGCCCACATTTTAAAACAGGTGATATTTTTCAATTTTAAATATATATTGTACATTTCTATAGATCCGTCAAAAAAAACTTTTTGCCACGCCCACTCCAATACCCACAAACCACCCAAAACTCTCACGACCACACTTTTAAGATATTTTTTTTTTTCATTCCAGAAAATGTTTAAGTTTCTCGATCCCACCTCCACTAGCTGAGTAAAGGGTATCTGAGTCCCCCCACTGAGTCGGGGAACTCGACTATATCATTCTATCTTGTTTTATAAATATTATTATCCTTTTTTGTTTTCTGTTTGGCTTTAATAGGAATTTTTTTATCTCTTAAAAATAAATCTATTTAGTAGCTTTACCCAAAAAACTCCAACATTCCTCGCCTATCATATATTCTGTACTCAGATGGTTAAAGTTCGATGGGCGTGACAGATTTGGGAGGATTTTAGCATAAGAATGTCGTAGTAACTTTTTAAACAACTTGGCACAAAATAGACGTCTATAGAATCTGCATGCTTAATCATAACTTTAAAGATTTTATACTCCCCAATCGAGATCGTTCAAACGGACGGACACACACACAAACATCCTTATCAAAAATATACATGTATTCTTTATAAGGCTAAAAACGTTTTCTACTCTACTCTTTTACTCTACAAGTAACAACTATATATACTCGGGGCTCCTTAATTTTAATATCTGCTCGGTTGCGTTGGTTTTACCACTTACCGTGCTCCATTTGTCCATGCATGTCTTGCGCGAATTCCTGTACAAACTTCTGCAATATGTCTTGCAACAACTCCAAGGGTGCACTTAGAGTGCAGCTGTAACCAATAGTTTGCGTTATTTGCGCAACGACGACAAGAGCCAAATCTGAAGCGTATCTGTCTGCCATCGCTTTCTTTCATGAGCTACCCTTTTTTCAGAAATGCTCGGGAATGCTGCGAATAGATTCGAACGTCCACGTTCTTTAACTTCCTATGCAAATTGATTGACTTGGTGTCTATACCTATATATACGAACTAAAAATTATTGATGTAAGGTCGGCGATAATTGTATCGATATTATATGTGGTGGCTCTTAGCACGAAGGAAAATATATCGATATTTTGGAAATTATTATTAATAATAAGCTTTATATAAACTCAATTTCTCATCATCTAAAAATCTAAACGTTTTAGGCATACTTTTTAAAATAGATATTAAGCTATGGAAATATAATAAAAATGTGTCGAAATGAAGAGAGGTAATTATTTTATCCGTAATAATGTTTAAGCCTCCCACAAAAAATCACCAACAAATTATAAATGAAAGCAAAAATCCTACCAGCAACTGATTTTATATTTATTGTGCAAGTACATGCCAATCACATATTAGTGCTGTTGGTATTTTGCAAATAAGGCAATTAAATTGAATGTCAATCGAAGTCTTATATCCCTTTCATAATAAATCTTGTGAGCAATTTCTCCAACATAAAGATTTCAGGTAATTTAGTGGAGACAGGGCATAATGTGTATAGATTTAGAACTATTGATATGATTACTGGTGCTATCTTCGATCACTTAACCATAAAATAAGTATCTTTAGATTCTGTATGGGTTAGGTATTGTTTCCAATATTTGCTGTAGTCGTGTTTTTATATAAAGAAGCTGAGTAAGAAGCGTGTGAACAGGTCTTCGGCCTTTAATATTTCATAACAAATGTGATACCGTATGTGTTATGATATACAGAAGTGGTCAAGAGTATTTACACAACGTGCTTTTTTTTCAATTGTCAACTTTGATCGCTTATTGCTGCTGCTTTTGTACTCAGAAACGAACATAACGGTATTTGTCGTGCTTCTACATCTATACAGAAGCAAACGAAAGAAGTGGAAAAAATAACTGTTCATGGGCTAAAAATAGAAGCATTGAACTGATGCGTGTCTGTTAGAAGTATTTACACACAATTTTTACGCGTCAAAATTATTTACACAGTGCAAATTCAAGATTAGTCTTTGATTTGCATTGAGTAAGTGAAGTTCTAGTTGATGTTGATCGCTTTATTGGAACTTAAACTAACTGCTAACAGTTAAATAATTAGATACAACTAAGCATTTCATTTGTAAAATGGCAAAAACAAAGGAGCTATCAGTTGAACTTCGAGCCGAGATTTAAATTTAATGCTGGTACTGGATTGGTCCAGCCAATCAATCAGTTTGGTGGTGGCACGGTGATGTCCTGGGGCTGTTTAAGCTACTATGGATTTGGAGACATGGTACCAATAGAGGGTACACCAAATCAAACAGGATATCTCGATATCTTAAATGAGCACGCATTCACTTCAGGAAATAGACTGTTCTCCACGAATGACTGGATCTTGCAGCAGGACAATGCTCCAGTACCAACCAAGTTCTTGAAAGACATAAATCAGGCGGTACTTCCATGGCCCGCACAAAGCCCCGATCTGAACATTATCGAAAATGTCTGGGCTTATGTTAGGAGTCAGAGGACATTTGAAAGAGATCGCCAGCGCGATGAAACTATAGCCGAAATTACGGAAATGTGGTCCAAATTACCTCTTGAGTTTGCGCACAACTTGGTCCGGTCAATACCAGCAAGGCTCCAAGCAGTCATTGAAGCCAAAGGCGGAGTAACTAGATATTAGTTGGCTTAACATAATCACATATTAAAATAATATAAAATATTTCGTTTAAATTTAATAAAAAACACAAAAATCAATTAAAAAGCTGTGTGTAAATAATTTTGACGCGTAAAAATTGTGTGTAAATACTTCTGACAACAGACAAGCATCAGTTCAATGCTTCTATTTTTAGCCCATGAACAGTTATTTTTTCCACTTCTTTCGTTTGCTTCTGTATAGATGTAGAAGCGCGACAAATACCGTTATGTTCGTTTCTGAGTACAAAAGCAGCAGCAATAAGCGATCAAAGTTGACAATTGAAAAAAAAAACACGTGTAAATACTTTTGACCACCTCTGTATATAAGTCCAATGTTAAAATTGTTTATCTTCTTCAAAGGACAAATCCTTTCACTTTTCAGACAATTATTAAAGTACTCAGTATCTACTTCCACATTGAGCTGGATGACGCGTTCACTCTCTTTTAAATCCAATAAAAAATTAGAAATGCAACCATTAAACTCGAACATTGATAAAGCAACAAACTTTTTTGTAGAGAGCGGGATCTTAGGATCCGTTAACTTTAAAGATTCGCATGACTTGATTAGGAAGACGTCTACCATTCACATTGATTCAACTCTTAAAAATCAGGTATATAAGGAAGTCTACTCTGATTCCTAATGAATGACACGTGCACACCTATGGGCACAATAATAAGTGTATAGGTATCTCTTTCTTACTACGACGAAAGATTTCATAGGAAGACCTTCCACATTTTATGTCCGTCACTTTTTGAGTAACTGACAACATATGTATGTATGTACATATCTCCGTCTGTATGTCCATATGAATGCTGGGATCCAAGGAACTATCAAAACTATCCCTGCAGAATGTATTCCTTGTCTCCAATAGATACCGTGATCCAAATTGTGTCATTGTTTCTCTATATTATTTCAAATTACAAAAAAAGAACATGCCAGATACCTATACACCTCTTATTGTATTCAAGTGTGTATATCGGTGCGCATGTACATATTTCAAACACTTTTTAAATACAGATACGAAAAACATCGTTGGGTATGCGATCGAGGGTATTTAGCGAAAAAAATGCATTGAACAATTTCGACGATACCCTTGTAAATCTTCAAAACGAAATTTTTAACATAAGAGATTCTTTAATCAATGGCGAGACTAAAATCATACTTCTACGTACTGAAATTGGCAAATTAAAGGTAAGGAAACGAATTGACCTTGTTTTTTTTTTAATTATCTATGCAGCAGTTTTTTGGCATTATATAATATTTGTTTTAGTTGGTCGAAATCGCAAGAATTCGAACCATAGAAACAGACCTAGACTTTAAATCTATGTTATTTTATATCGATTGCCACCATGAAAAACTCTGCATGCCTCGAAAATTTGGTAAAGACAATGACATACCGCTGTGTTCATTGAAATAGCAGTGCATGAGAAACTATGAAATAGCCTACGAAAGGTGTCCCCAGTTAGGCAAAGACCTATGTATAGAAAGGTTGAACCTCGCCAAAACCCACTTAAACTGGAGAGTCTCCAAATCAGTCTCTAGACCATTGAGTCGAAAATAATGATATCTTGTAGACAGTATGTCAGTCAAACCACGGAGTACCACACAAACCACACTCTCAAGACTGTCAGGCGTGGTGGACGTGAAATCCTGTTCTCTGTTTATTTTTCATACATACCACACAAGCCACACTCTCAAGACTGTCAGGCATGGTGGACGTGAAATCCTGTTCTCTGTTTATTTTTCATACAATGGTATGAGTCCCAAACATATGATTGGTGGTATTCTGGACCAAAATGTTATGTAAATATACTTACTAATGTTTTGCTGTATTATACTGAATTGAATATGCCCTTAAAATGGACACTGCAACAGGATAATGATCCTAAACACACGAGCAATGAGGCTAAGAATTGGCTTACCCAAAATGAAATAGACGTAATGCCGGGTCTAGCACAATCTTTCGATATAAAACCGATCGAAAACCAAATGACTCCCTGACTTCTAAGGCTAAGCTTTATAAAGTTGTGCAGGATGCATGGGCTCAGATTCCGCCCAATCGGTGCCACGAATTGGTGGACTCCATGCCGCGTGGGTGTCAGGCTGTAATAGCCAACAAAGGATAGGCAACAAATATTTGTTGCATTTTCTCCTAACAGTGCTATTTTAGTGAACATCAGAATGTATGCCTATTTTCGAAACTATTGAAGAAATAAAACATGAATGGAAACATTTGTTAAATTGTTTGAAATTAAATACCTAATGATGTTATAAAGAAATTTTTTCCATTAAAAGTGTAAATCATACAAATCAATAAATACAGGTGTATGTCCGCACGACGTGCTTAAAGAAATCAATTTTGCAATTAACATATACCCGTTACTCGTAGAATAAAAAGTACCTTGAAAAGTATGTGACAGGCAGAAGGAAACGTTTCCGATCATCAGGATCAATTGCCGAGTCGATCTGGCCACAATATCTGGAACTACAAAAGCTATAATGTTGCACGCAGACTAAGTCCAGAGACTTAGACGTAGCGCAAGTTTGTTTAAAAATGTTGCCACCTTTTTTGTCAAGCCCAATCTTACGCCCACAAACCCCACAAAACTCTCAAGTCCACACTTTTAAAAACATTTTAAAGTTATTTCATTTTATTTTTTTCCCAAATTTCTGCCGATATTCCATAAAATGTTGAAATTTGTCGTTTGAACTTCCAATAGTTGAGTAACGGGTAACTCGAGTACGTAACTCGACTATAGCATTCTCTCTTGCTTTATATTTCTTTTATAATAATTAATTTTTAAATATGTTTCATAAAATATATTTTTAAAGTCAATTTTGCAATTAAATTATTTTTATATTTATTTTAAAACTATTAATTTTTAAATATGTTTTATTTTACTATACTATTATTATTATTATTACTATATTATAATTGTGTACGTATATGTGCACGTGGTCTGTGATAGCTGATAGACAAAAGAAGTAAGTCAAACTCAGCATTCTATCTCACAAAAAAAAAAAACAGTGATAATTCCTGTGTTAAATATTTAAATAATTGATGATTGGAAATAAATAAATAAAATATATTGAAAAACAATATTTAGAAAACTAGCTTAGCTCACATATGTTCCATATTATTAATAGTATTAGATGTTTTTAACTAAGGTGTATTCATAAAAAAATCGTAGAAACCATAATAATCGCAGCATTAGTTTTTAAATAATTTTGTATTAGATCATATTACAAAGAAATAGCTGAAGACTAAGTAAATTCGTTTCCTAGACCAAAATTGATATCGGCCCGAAAATCATCCAGCAAGTATTACACTTTCTTGTTTATTGCTTTTACGCTCTCGATTTCGGCCGCTGTCAAAAAAGCAGGTGCATTGTTTAAAATGTATGGTCGTTACGTATCTTGTTATTCTAACATCATTGATATAACTCAGTTTGTTTGTGTATTAACTGCAATTGTGTCAATCACAGTAATTGTTCGTTGACAGTTCGATTTCGTGCTTCTTAATCAAAATGGCTTCGGGAAGTCCGTTAAATAGGCCGGTTTACAATGCGAAATCCTCGATCAATCCTTAGAAAACGCTTGTAGCTCTTTCCAAATTGGTTTGGCAGCAGAAGCAAATAAGGCAGCAAGGGCTTAGTTCGACGATTATTTATTTGATCAAATTGATTACTGTCTGTAATAACTTTAATTTTTTCTCGTTAAAATAAAGACTGGTCAACAAAGTTTTGCCAAGCATCATTGCTAACCACACAAATAATGAATGGTTAAGTGAGCAAGCAACTTTAGCTGATAAAACTAAAGTTGTAAATGACTAAAAATACATTTTTCCGAATTAGCTGATACACTTTATTTATTTAAATCGATTGACTGCATTTTACAAAAAAAAATTTTTCAATCCAATTGAATTCAACGTTTAGCTCTGTAGTATTCACGCTTTGAAATCATTCTTATTTGTATACCCGAAATAAGAATGAACGCTTTATTTTACTAAAAATTTAAGAACCCTCTGTATGGGAAAAATGTATTCAATATTAATGGGTATAGTAAAATCCATGTTAAATAAATATGTAAAAAGTCAATTTATTATTTGAATAATTATAAATGCTATTTTAATTTAAATTTGTCTTATCTTTCAGCAGGCACTACAAGCAATAATGAATGTGCAGATGAATGCTCTTGACTACTCTGATGAGATGATCATGAAAATAAAAGATTCCACGCCGAATCTTTGTTTATTTTGCAAACCTAATAGTCTTTATAAACGGATCACCGAGTTTTAGTCCTTTAACAAAATCATTTTTAACAAATATTAATATGAAACAAAAATGTAGTTCAAAGAAAGAACAACAATCTGTACAATACAATGGCACAGAAAGTATTTTATAATTGGTATTTATAAATAAAAAAAACCATACACATTTCAATTTAATTTTCTTATTTGGCTTGCTCTTATTTTTTAGAACAATCTCTGCCGAAGCTTTATTAGTAAAAGTAATGATACACTTTTAGAGTATAATTGTATCTATTACGTTTGAAATAATAGCAAGTATATACAATAAATAAAATAACGTTTTTATAACATATTTTAGATACTTAAATAAAGTTTAATAACTTATTTTTACAGAAATCACTTTTGAGGTTCAGGACACACAAATTCCCGAAATGAAAATTACGCCGGGATCATTGGCTGTACAACTAATAACAAAGTATATATTGAAAAACTTAACGCATTTTATTAGTGAGAGGTGGTTATTAAATATAAATGAAAATTGGCTATTACTAAATTTTCAGTTAAGTACGACAATGTGTCCTACTCCATGGCTTTTAATTTACGATATTTTAATTTATTTAGTAGAGAAATTGGTAGAGGCATCCAATATTTGTGTTTTTATAGTTCTTATCTTGTACATATAAACATTCAACATAAGTTTTGGGATTTATAATTATTTGATGGCTTTTTATTTTATGAAATCATAAATAAGCTCGATGACAAATTATATTTAAATGAAATAAATACCCACAGTACATATTAACGAAACTGCCGCTGGGTTACACTGTCATTTGAAAAACAAAAGTTATCTTTTTAAATATCTAAATTGAGTTACAACGATGAAATTGACGTCTCCCCTTAAGGTATATATATATTCATCAACAGAGTCGATCTAGCCATATCTGTCCGTTTGTTAACATAAATAACTCTTATTTTTTTAGCATGTAGTATTTAAGTTGGAACGGACCCAATCGAAATAATATGCTAAGAATAATCGGCATACACTTCGGTATAGAGCACTTAAAAAGTTAGTTTTATTAAACCGGAAGACTATGCCATTTAACCGCCCTAGATGTCAAGAGAGAGATTAGAATCTCAACATTCAGCACCAAAACAACATTTTCTGAACCAATACGCATGTGAACCAATTACAAAAGGCGATTTAGGAGCTAGACAAAAAAATTGTAGGTTAGAATTTGATGAAATCCAGGTGTTATTTGCGAACGCTTTTAAAATCCATTGTATTTACTTTCGGATAATATACATTTTCTATTGTAAATGGCAAAAATAAGAACTTTTGTTTCTAAGTACAACAAAATATTGACTCACAATAAAGATATGAATGCTATTGTTCGTCACACAGCAGTCCAAAAATAAACTAAATCAGTTTTAGAATTTAGCCACCATATTTAATTTAGCCTGGAGTTATTTGATTATTCTAAATTATGCCTGTAACGACGAAGTCGCGCACTATTTTCAGTTTTTGGAGCACCCGGTGGTGGTAAAATGGTGCATTTAGGGTGTAGCTCAGAAGAATATTCTTTGGTTGTAAAATTATTTAGTTCTTCTATTTTTACGACATGAAGTCCATCATGTCCAGTTTTTTCTGCGTTTATTACAGTGCAGTTATCATCAGAATTTTCAAACATTGCATTTGGAATGCCACGGGTTCTTAAACAAATTAATATTCAATTAGAGTGCAATATACTTTTCAATATAAGGACATACCTGCTAGAAGTTCGAGATCGAGGTCTTTGGAATTTTAATGGCAATTGTGTTGGGTCCGTGACATACTTTCCTTCAGTTGATTCCCTACGCCGACGTAAGCCTACATCAATATAGTTCATTAGTTTTGGAAAAATATAATTTGCAATTCTTCAAATAAAAGTTTATCTTCCTTTTGATAAAAATAAACGGGGTAGATTATTCATGTTTTGGCCCATAGATTATATACAAATGTCAATCAAATTTTGTGACAATTCTTTTATAGTTATTATATAAACTTCGGAATCTATTTTTTAGAAAATAAATCAAATACAAATTTTAAAGTTTACTTAAAAAACAAAAAGTCAAATTCCAATTTTTACGCGTGTGTTCATTTTGGGTGAACAACACTGATGAACCCTTAGACTGACGAAGACAATTTAAAAAAAGTACTATTAATATTAATACTAATATTAAATAAAGTCCTTACTTTTTTTTACCAAAAAAGATCATTAATTCGATAAATCCCTACAAATAAGTTAATTTTGTAGTTTTTGTATAAACTTATTTACGTTAATAATTACATAATAGTTAATATTTACAATCTCTATTGAAATCAACAGTAAATGTACTACAATTTTAAGATAAATATTTGGCACACCTGGTGTAAGATCCGTTATATTAGGAGGATATTCTAAAGCAATGGAGTAAGTGGTTTTTCGAACAGGTATAATATCCATTACTGAATCTGGCGTGTCAGACTGTGGATGGTAAGGGACTTCCTGTGGAACTTCAACGGACTCAAGTGTCTTAGATGCATTTATAAAATCAGAACCTGCCCAAGATGCACATTTTGATTGGCGTACTGGAATTTTGCTTGGATTCAGTAGCGGTAGATCACATCCTGACTCATTCTCTCCGAAACCGTCATTGCTGCCTTTTGTAAGTTGAGTTTTGGGGACAGCTGCGCTGCTATTTTCATGATCACTTATTATGTTGCTCATTAGAATGTTTCCATTTAACTTTAGTTTATTTCCCCCGGTAGAATATAGGCTACATAAACTAGCTCCGATTCGCTCTTCGGTTGTGTCCTTGTCGGGTGGTTTCATACTTTTACTAATTGCCTCCATTTCATCACTGTTTATAACGACTGGATCAGAATGGTTTTGTCTTTCATTAGCGGTTTGAGTATTTTTAACAGCTCCCATTGCATCATAGTAAACAGAATCATCCGGATGAGAGGTTTCTATATAGAGGAACACAAAAAAGGTGTTATTCATTGTTAAGAAACAAATTTTATGACTGATTAAGAAAAAGATCCAAAAACAGAACTATAATACCAAAAAGAATTGATTTAAATTAACATTTAAATAACATCTTTGGCAAGAAAAAAATTCTGCTGTGAATTACTTTCATAGTAGGCTAGTTAAAAATATATCACTGCCAGTTTGCTATACTTTATAGATCATGAGAGAAAGCAAAACAAAACAAAACTATCCGTTAAGCAGCTAGTGGAGGTGCGAACAAAAAATTCCACTTTTTTTATTATATTATTTATTGCATATCTATAGGAAATAATAAAATAATGAAAAAAATGTTACATTTAAATGTAACGTGACAGTTTTAGGCGGTTTGTCGGAGGTAGAGTGGCCGTGGCAAAAATATTTTAAAATATTTATTTCGATAGAAATTTACAAGACTAACAAAAATCGTTCTAGCTTTCGTACAGAATCCGAAGCAGTTTTATAATTTCGTTAATACTAAGCGCAAAACCTCTTCTTACCATTCCTCGCTATTTTTTGAAACAACATATTGCACGCTACCTCATTCTGAACAGCCTTATTCTTACGCGATATCAAAGTCGAATTTAATATTTTGACTCACTCTAAAGAAAGGCTCACTACTCCGAACCTGTTAAGCCTGTCTACTCGACAGGTCCTGACGGAATTCCTGGTTGCGTGCTTTGTTTCTGTACTGAAGTCCTATGCAAGCCTTTTTTGATATGGTTTCCTTATCTCTGGAAACTTATAGTTCCTGTGATCCCGACGTGCATACAGACGGACAGACTCCGTCCGGTCAGATCGACACGGCTATTGACCCTGATCAAGAATATACACTTTATACTTTATATGCTCGGAACAGCTTTATTCTACCTGTTACGTACTTTTCAACAAACCTAGTTATTCCCTTTTACTATACGGGTGTAAAAACATACAAAAGATTCCATAAAGTCGAGAGCCTCCGCTGTCATAATAATTTCATAAATTCATAATAATTTCATAATGTCATAATTTTCAAATAAACAAAAAGGGCAGCTGATAGAAATGTGTACATTGCATGTTAATATATACCGTTTAGGTAATTGTAAATTTTAGTGTAAATTAAGGTAATAACTCAATTTAAAGAAATTTCTTGCAAAATCTTAAATATTGAATTAAAAAAAAATGTTATCGATACAAATTGGATAGACCACGAGTAACGGGTATAAATAGCAGCATTATTATGATGGCCTACACTTTTACCAAAACTTAATTTTATTAAGTTATGTAATGTCAATGAAAGATATGTATATGATTTGAAATGTGGCAAACATACTGATAAAAAATATACACCGTGGGGTATTTTTTTATTTATTCCTCAACCAGCAACAAACTTTTGACTAAGATTTCAGTATTCCATTAAATGATATGAAAAACATGAAATCATTCACACATCATTCCCACAAACTAAATTAAACTAGTCCACAAAAAAACTGGTGCAATTGTGAGGAATGTTTGTCACTGTGGACGGCAGTCCATGTAGTGACAGCGATCAGGAGAGTGTGCCAATTAGAATTTTGATTCGTTAAATTATTTAAACAGTATTTTGTTGCTAGGAAAAGAAATAATAATATAAAATTACCTTTAGGGATAACACGAATTTCTAGTCGCCCACTAATGCAACAGTTGTTTTCCTGGATCGCTGATCCTAAACCCAAATTTCTTTGGCATGTCTTTGTCTGTACTCGCCAGGGCATTTTAGCGTCCTCAGCAAGCATTGCATCGGAATTCGATTGCACTAGTTGGTCATCAAAAATATCGTTAACTGAAACATTGGGAAGGCTGCTTCGATGTTTCGATTTATCATGACTGTCATTAGTATTATTTAAGTGAAATGCTGAATCCTTTTTAAAAGGAGATGGTAGCATATTCCTTAAAACCAACGAAGTGGTAGGCTTAGCCTTAGCTAAATGAGTGCTTTCCGAATATGTTTCTCGCACGCAGACATTCCTCGCAATATCCATGCGATATACCTAAAAAATGTAAATAATTAATATTACCTTTGGCTTCTTGGGCGCATTGAACAATTTAAGTGGTTTTTTGTTCTTTAACAGTTTTAGGGTACTAATACTTAAAATGTCTTCCGATAAAGTTAGAAACAAAATAACGGCATGCCAATATATATATATATATAATTTTACGGTTAGTGATTTGTTAAATATGCTTACTGTGTCATCAAATGCGGCTTGTTGCACAGCCGGAGGCTCCAAGCTCTTTCGTAATACACTACCCATTGCAGGCTCGGACCAGCAGTTTGGTATGGAGATTCTTAAAGCTTCATAATTCTCAATTCCTTTTATATTCAGTGTGTACCTATAATGAGCATATTATAAATCATGATTATCAATATATATTTAAAACAAGACTATATACATATATACTGTTCCAAATTCTATCGACACGCCAAACACATTTTGGTCACAAACTTCCCACGCCCACACATGGGTTCAAGAAATCAAGAAAATTTAATTTTTGTATTTAAACATTTGTCGACTAAAGCGTTCTCTCTTGTTAAACCTTTTACTCGTAGACTAAGAGCGTATACTATTAGCGTATTCATTGAAAGTTACAGGTAGAGGGAAGCGTTTCCGATTATATTAAGTAAATATAATATTTAAAAGCTAAAAAGTTAGGAGTAGGCATACGGATTCCAGAGGCGCAGAAGCTGCTGTGAGTCTGTTCTCAAATGTTGTCACGCCCACAAACCGCATCTTGTTAATTACTATCGATTCTAAATAAAATTTTTTATCACGCCCACTTTAACACCCACAAATCGCCCAAAACTGAGATGCCGACACTTTATAAAACTTTTTTGATATTTTTTCACATTTTATTAGTTTTGTAAATTTCTATTGATTGTAAAACAAAAATGTACCACGCCCACACTTTTAAAACATTTTTTTTATTTTGTTATCGATTTTCCTAATTTCTAACGATATGCCAGAAAAATGTTAAAATTTCTGTTTTTAATTGCCACAACCTGATAGTCGGGGAACTCGACTGTAACGTTCTCTCTTGTTTTATATATGTATAAGTTAACTGGAGTAATTTACATATTGCTTATGCCCTTAGCTTTTGAGGGAAGAGCTAAGCTTTGCTGAGGAACGTAGGGTAAAGATAAGAGATCCATTCTGTAATAGGCAGTCGATATTTGGAGATCAAAAGCGTCGGTCATCGCCACGCACAAACATACAAATTCGTCTCATTAAGTGCAGACCGCACAAATTCTATTATAATTGTATACAAATAAAATTATACAAAAACTTCTAACGATAATTGGCGCCCAACTTAATCTAAAACCCACGATATAAAAAGGAGACAACTAAATCTAAAACCTACAATGTCAAAGGGAGACGACTAAATCTCAAACGCACGATATCAAAAGGAGAAACACAACAGCTGGAGCAGACCTACTCAAACAGCGATTAAAATACAAAAAGCACTATTTTAAATCATCACTCAAGTTGTAAGTACAACGCCCCTTGATTAATTATTAAAAAATAAAAATTTTCATACACACGTGAAGGTTATTGAAGGTTATAAATAACACATTGATGAGTGTCAGTGATAAAGAGATAGACGACTTAATATCAAGTTGGAATAGAATATTAAAAGAGACTAGCCAATTAGATACCGCAGGCAAAAAAAACGCGAAAACAGAAAAGAAAACAAGTGAAATGGAGTATCAGCGAATCAACTGAAAGCAATAGTAGAAAATGCCGTTGCTGGCGCGCTTGCAAGTCAAAAAGAATTATTTGACAAAGAGTTACAAGCGATTAATGAGCGCATAGCAAAATTTACAGAAGTTGAAACTTACACAGATGCTGAAATCATACCAGGTGTAGTGTGTAATGAATCTCTAGACATAATAAAGTCGCTGCCAGACTTTGAGGGCGAAAGTGATACATATGTGTCGTGGAGAAAAGCGGCTCATGTCGCTTTTAAGGTTTATGAAACATACGAGGGTAGTTCAAAATATTATCAAGCCCTTGGTATTATCCGAAATAAAATTAAAAACTCTGCAAACAACGTGCTAGCTTCGTTCAGCACACCGTTGAATTTTAAGGCAATAATCAATCGCCTTGACTTTACATACGCTGACAAAAGGCCCATCTACTTAATCAAACAAGAGTTGTCTACGTTGAGACAGGGTGATATGACACTCACCGAATTTTATGATGAGGTCGAGAAAAAATTGACTCTGCTTACAAATAAGACTATAATGACGTGCGATAAGCCCTTGGCGATGTCACTCAATGAAAAGTATAGGGCTGACGCGTTACGTGTATTTATAACAGGCACAAAGAAGTCATTGAGCGATATCCTGTTTGCCAAAGGAGCCAAGGACTTACCAACAGCCCTTGCTCTAGCACAGGAGGTTGAGTCAAACCATGCGTGATATCTATTCGCTCTGAACTACTCAAAAAGCTTGCAGGACAAAGGTCCGAAGCCGGAAAAAAATACTGATAGGGATAAGCACTAATATGCAAGGCAAAAACCCCTATTTTAGTAAGCGCCAGTCTGTGCCCAGTTTTGACAGCCAGGCAGGTCAAATACAAGTCCAGGCACCGACTCAGCTGTTTGATACTGACGTATCTATGCGAACCGTTCAATCGAACCAACTTAGACAAGCACCAATCTTGAACCAGTGTAGCTTACCCCAACTTCAACATAACTCAACTGAACAGGGCAGGCACAAATTGGCTATGAACATGCAGCAAAAAGACCAAATAGTGGCACTGCCAGGTTTACAGGACCGAAACAACAAAGAGTGAACCATTTTGCCCAAGAAGAAGATCTAGAGGAGTCAGATGAAAATGATTATGAACAAGGGGCAACAGCAGCTGTTGAGGATATTGAACACGAGCCTACAAACTATGACGATGTGCATTTTTTAGCCAAAGGTCCTTGCTACCGTTTATAGAAAGAAAGATAGAAAGAAAGAAATCTTAATCGACACCGGCTCTTCAAAAAACTATATACAGCCCCCCACAGAATTTAAGTACATAACGCCGGTACAAAAAGAATTTACAGTTAAGTCTCTTCATGGTTGCAACACGGTAAAACATAGATGCATTGTTGAAATTTTCAACAAGACTATTCCCTTCTTCATTCTACCGTACCTCTCAAGCTTTGACGCCATATTAGGATTTGACACGCTAACACTGCTAAATGCAACATTGCACTTAAAAAATAAAATATTAAAAATCGGAAACTCAGTCGAACCAATTAAGTTTGTAAAATGTAATAGTAGTAATTTCTCTGATATAAAAGACATCGTAGTACCAAACCAGATAGCCGAAAAATTCCACATAATGCTAAAAGACCGATTGGGTGTCTTTGCAGTCCCAGAAGAGGCGTTGCCATTTAATATTAACGGAATAATTAACGGAAAAAGACCAACCAGTATACTCAAGACTTTATCCATATCCCATGGGCGTAGCAGACTTTGTAAATGAAGAAACGAAGGCGTTGTTAAAAGACGGAATTATTTGACCTTCGCGATCACCCTACAACAATCCGGTTTGGGTTGTCGACAAAAAGGGTACAGATGAAAAGGGAAATAACAAAAAGAGGATGGTTATAGACTTTCGGAAGCTAAACTCAAAGACAGTGGACGACAAATACCCGGTGCCAAATGTTGTATTCATCCTATCAAATTTGAGAAAATCCAGATTTTTTACAACATTAGATCTAGAGTCAGGCTTTCATCAAATCTTACTTGCAGAAAATGATACGGAGAAAACCGCCTTCTCAGTTGCACATGGAAAATACGAGTTTTGTAGACTTCCCTTTGGCCTTAAAAACGCACCCAGTATGTTTCAACGTGCCATAGATGATGTACTCAGGCTCCGAATAGGAAAGTCTTGTTTTGTTTACGTTGATGACGTTATTATTTTTTCTGAGCGACTTGAGGACCATCTGAATCATATTTGTTGGGTACTAGATAGACTACTTGAAGCTAACATGAGGGTGTCTAAGGAGAAATCGAACTTCTTTAAGGAAAGTGTCGAATATTTGGGATTCATTGTATCCAAAGACGGCATCACAACAAATCCTAAAAAAGTAGAGGCAATCCTTAACTATGAAGAACCCACTAATTTGTTCAACGTTAGATCCTTTTTAGGGTTAGCAAGCTATTACCGCTGCTTTATAAAGGACTTTAAAGATACCCATTATTTTAGATGATAAGCAACGCTCTGCATTTGAGAAACTTAAGAATATCTTAGTGTCCGAAAATGTAATGCTACCCTACCCAGACTACACAAAGCCTTTTAATTTGACTACGGACGCTTCAGCTCTTGGCCTGGGAGCGGTTTTATCACAAAACTGCAAGCCTATTATGATGATATCTAGATCCTTAAAAGGTAGAGGCTTGGTTTCGCAACAAATGAACGAGAGCTTCTAGCCATTGTATGGGCTTTAAAAACATTAAAGGACTATCTGTATGGCGCTAAAAATCTGAATATTTACACAGACCACCAACCATTAACGTTTGCCGTGTCAGATAAAAACACAAATGCTAAAATTAAAAGGTGGAAGGCATATAGAGGAGCACAACGCAAAAATTTTGTATAAGCCAGGGAAGGAGAACCATGTCGCAGATGCACTATCCAGACAGGCCATCCACGCTTTAGAAAGCCACCTCCAGTCAAATATGGCAACGATACATAGCGAAATATCGCTTTCATACGCAATTGAAACAGTCGACAAACCGGTCAACTGCTTTAGAAATTAAATAATAATAGAAGAAGGCACAGCGAATAATACTCGCACCTTTATTATATTTGGCAACAAGTCAAAGCACGTGATACAATTCGTAAATAGGGAATCGTTAGTAGGCAGAATTCGCGACGTAGTGAAACAGGATGTGGTGAATGCAATATACTGCGAATTGCCCATACTGGCATTCATCCAGAACAGACTTATAGAAGAGTTCCCGGAAACGACTTTCCAGCATACAAAAAAGTTGGTGATCGACGTTTATAACAAAGAGGAACAAAAAGAAATAGTAGCCATTGAACACAGCAGAGCGCACAGGGCAGCGCAGGAAATTGTTAAACATATTCTACAAGATTATTTTTTCCCAAAAATGGCACAGCTGGCAGTCAGTATAGTAGGTAACTGCTTGGTTTGTCAAAAAGCCAAATACGTACGTCATCCGCAAAAACAAATCCTAGGGTGAACACCTATCCCTTCACAAATCGGCGAGACATTGCATATTGATATTTTCTCTACGGACGGGAGATATTTCCTGACCTGTATAGATAAATTCTCAAAATTTGCAGTCGTACAACCCATAGGTTCTAGAACGATAGTCGACATAGAACCTGCAATAATGCATTTAATGAACCTCTATCCAAACTCAAAAACAATATTTTGTGACAATGAACCATCTATAAACTCTGAGTCAATCAGGTCACTATTATCAAATCGGTTCAATGTTCAAGTGGAAAATTCACCACCCCATCATAGTACCTCAAACGGACAGGTGGGAAGGTTCCACAGCACACTGTTAGAAATATCACGATGCCTAAAACTAGATAAAGGCATAGTTGATACGGTGAATCTCATACTTCAAGCAACCGTGGAATACAACAGAACAGTATATTTAGTCACTAATAAAAAGCCGATCGACATTATTCATGCAATGCCCTCAGGATTTGCAGAGGAAACCTCAGAGAAAATTGACAGAGCACAGGAAATACAATTAAGAAGAATTAATAAATCAAGATGTGACAGAACTTTTCAGGTCGGGGACACTGTCTTTGTAAAGCAAAACAAACGGATCGGAAATAAACTTACCCCACGCTACAAAGAAGAAAAAATTTAAGCAGACATTGGGACAAGTGTCTTAATAAAGGGGAGGGTAGTACATAAAGATAATTTACGTTAGGATTATTATTTTCTTTGTCTAAGTCCGTCATTTATACTTTAGTAGTGTCAATTCGCCAAGAGTTTACTCACCTAAACATTTGTTAACGTTACACAACTACAACAAACTTTCAGTACAATATAAAAAATCGTCAACTCCTTAGGTACAGCCTTAAAGTAAATCTTGAACGACCGTCTCTTATGATTTCAAAAACTTTAAATTCACGTAACAGGAACCTTTCGACCCAAAAATTAAGCAGCAAAACAGCAATAGACATTACAAATAAAAAGCACAGCTTACAGAAGAATAACTCAGAATAAAAAACAAAAACCCATTAGTGTTATTAATCGCCTTCTTCACCCCATTCCTATATCATAATAAAAAACAAATTTAATCAACGAGCGTTGTACATTATTTTATATTATCACTATTGTTAACTATCAACGTACTTGCAGTGTATATCTTTTGTATTCTATAATAATTTAAACAAAGCGTTAAAGAAAGCTCTTAAATCCTACTGGCATAAACGACATATCCGATTGCGGCAACCTGAGAGAACAAATCGACAACTCAATCACCGAAATACATTGGCGGAGAGCCACCAACTACTCTATCCAACGTGCGCATTGTAACGACACTACAAGACCACCAAGGCCAACGTCAAACAAAGCACGGATCGCCATGATTCCCGTTCATCATCAACCGTATAATTTGAAAAGACTGAGAACAGCCTTCATCCTAGTAGGGGAGGAGTTAACTGGAGTCATTTACATATTGCTTATGCCCTTAGCTTAATGCAAGCGCATCGGAGCTTTTGAGAGAAGAGCTAAGCTTTGCTGAGGAAAGTAGGGTAAGGATAAGAGATCTATTCTGTAATAGGCAGTCGATATTTGGAGATCAAAAGCGTCGGTCATCGCCACGCACAAACATACAAATTCGTCTCATTAAGTGCAGACCGCACAAATTTTATTATAATTGTATACAAATTATTGTATTCAAAAACTTCGAACGATAATTTATATACGACTTACCTCTTCGGTCTTTCCATTGCTTGGACTGGAAGATTTGTTGATTTGCTTGTATCAGCGACGACATGTTTCGCAAATGGTTTGGCTTCATTTAGGGGCAATGATATATCCAGTTTAATCAATTGCTCCAAATTGGGTTGCAACTGCGAGGCAAAATTTAATTGATAAAATTTATACATAATTTATAATAAACGAAACATGTGCCAATATTTTTTAGTTAATATATGCTTAATATTTAAAAAAATTATGAAAAATGGTTATCACTACTATAGGAAAGACATTTTAAGCTTAGTATTTTTGGAAGGTTTTAAACTTACCTGGTGTTCTCTATTCCATTCGTTATCAGTAGTATCCTCAGAGTCATCGAACTGACTCTTCCATTGCGATGCCAACGTGAGAGCTCCTCCTTTGGTTACTTGTTGCAAAGCAGAAACGTTCTCGTCGTCTATTAAAGCAAATTGAGTGACCGAATGATCACCTGCAACGCTGCTTCTGGCAGTGTTGCTTCCGGTACCAACTCCTCCACTAACTGTCGATCCACAGTTTATCCTTTGACTTGAATTGGTATTTACTCCAGAGGAAGATGGGCGTAAATTGGTGGATGTTGCAGAACGGCGATTAATCGGCGGCATGGCTGCCATTCCAAAAATTTGAACATGCTGGGTGCAAAATTTTGTGGACGAGCTGCTTCCACCTATTGGAGCAGCATTGGTGCTGGCAGTACATTGATCTTGTTTTCCTGATAAATCCGACACTTGCTGGCCATGACCTCCACCCGCTGTTAGATCATGTACACTCATTGGCGGGGCTGTGAGCACACGTAGTCGCCCAAATGTTGATTTTTGTTCCTCCGCTGACCGATTGGCCTCAGAGGTCTTTTCGTGTGTTACTGTCCCAGGTCTCTGTGACTGCTTATTGGTTATCTCAGGTGAATTATATTTTTTTATTTGAGACTTTTGATGCTGTTCGACCCCGCTCAAGTAAGCTCTGCCAGCTATCTCAGTATCATTTGATTCTAAATGTTTTTGTTCAAATATACATTTTCCAGCAATATCAACTATATTATCACACTCTCCATTAGGTTTCATTGGTAACAATTTTGTCGGTGCCCTCTCTTCCAACTTTGTATACTGTAAAAAATTAAGTTTAGAATGACAAGCCGAAGTGCAAGGACCGTAGCGCTTTTAACATTACATTAAGAGAGTATATTTGAAAAGTCTTGGAAAAGTATGTAACAGGTAGATAACAGGTAGAACAGTTTTTTGTTTTTTAATTTTATTATTGTTTTTCCCAGTTTTGATCGATATGCCAGAAAAATGTTGAAATTTCTCGTTCGCACAAGGGAATTGCTGACAGTCGGGAACGCGACTTTAGCGTTCTCTATTATTATTATTATTATTATTTTGAAATAAAAGCCTACACTATTTTAAAAGTTTTCTTAAAGTCAATCACAGTAGGTGAACGCCTTGATCACGAATAATACTTAATTCATCATCTTCCACCGTCGTACTACCGTTAAGTAGAAAAATTTCTGATATAAAATAATGTGACAAATACTGGCTCCATTTACACAAAAATTTTTAAAAATAATGTACCTAGTTTTATTTTCATCACTAAGCTGCAGAAGAAATATCGTTCTACTAAAGTCTTCAAATGAGAATCAGAATGCTTAGACCTAACTTAATTGGCCGATGTCTCAACATTATAGGGTGAAAACGTGTTCTTCTACCTGTTCATAACGAATGTTTTGAACGAATCTGGAATACCATTTTACTTTACTTTACTAATATAAAAATGACTGGCAAGAGCAGAGATCAGAAGTCTTATGACTGTAAAAAATATAAAGAAATTTGTTTCATGATCCATAAAAGAAAAAGTAGATTTGAAATAGGCAACCTTTGTCAAGATGTCTGTCAACATAAAATTCCTTTACGATATGTATCTATCTTCATATAAACATAAAAAGGTACACACAAATAATAATGAGCAATGTACCACCGAAGACATTGGAATTTGAGGATGATTTCGTGGTAACTACATAAGAATGAAACATTAAAATCTTTGAATGTTAACAATTTTGGTTTTTTTCGCTCTAACTTTTTAAAACTTTTTTTTCGATCACTTTTAAAAAGTGGATATTTTATAAATGATTTTCCTAATTGCAGGAAAGATCTCTTTCCTTTTGGTGTTGAGAGTTCATACATGCTTGAAGTGGTTACATTACCTGTACATCCTCCCTTTGGTGCACTTGGATATTTGGTATGGCTACTTGGGAATTTGTGGTTAATGTAGACTGCTGTTGCAGTCTTTTTGTTGTGATATTTTGATTATTTGCAGTATTACCATGTGGTACGATGGCGTCACCAGATCCTTTTGCTGGAGTTGCTAGTGAAGTTGCATTGCAGTTTTTATCAACCTTTAATATAACAAAAATTTGACCGAATTCCAATACTGATTTAGTTTTACTTCACTTACTTTTTCTTTTATATTAAGGGGATCGGTCGCTGTAATATGGGCGGTTTCGATTTCAGCTCGCTTCCGTGCCTTGTGAAAGGGTAAGAATGGATTTAGAGTTAAAAAAGACTTAATACGAATACAAACAAACTAAGATGTGTTAGAGAGATTAAATTAAAGAGTGACAATGCACGCTTGCTTTAACGACTTTAGTTACAAGGCTAGATTTTTGAAGATATGAGCCCACTTTAAAACTAGATTAAATATCTTTATATACGCAATAGTCTAGTTCCTCGACTATCAGATACCCGTTACTTACATTTTTTTTTTATCATTTCGATAGAAATACGGGAAAAAAAGTAAAGATATCAAGACATTCAAAACTAATTATTAAACGAATTTAGCATAGCCTTTACTCTACGAGTAACGAGTAAAAAAATCGGCGCCACCTGAATTATGCAATTTTGAATATTTACCTTTTTAAAGGTACTGCACAAATTGGGTCTCGCTTTACAAAGTAAACAACTAGTGACAATCGCACCTTTAACTTATTCAGCGCGCTACAATATATAATGCCAGAATAGGCAAATAAATAGTGCAGAGCGTATTGAATGTGTACATTCAGATAAATCATTCTTCCTTTTATTTTAGAGCCTTTTAAAAAAGCGATAGTCAGTAGATCTTGACATCGGTAATAGATGTTTTGTTTTCGTGCCACTACGTGGACTGCTGTCCAGTGTGAGCTCATAATAAATTAGTAAATAATATAAAAATATGAGTTACGTACTTTAAGTTTCCTTATATTTCCTTATTATATTTTACTAATTTGCTTTGTAAATATCGGGCAATACACCAAATAAATTTGTGAAATAACTCACGTAATCTGTGCCACTTGCGTTAGATGCTGCCACAGTCATTTGTGTAATATTTCCGTGCATGTAATCGTTTTTTATAGGAATTGATGGGTTGCTTGTTGCACTTATGTTTCCAATCGCCGTGGAATCCACTTTTTCCCAATCATATGGATCCGACTCTTTGACGCCACGTCTTTTCATACACCTCTCAAACAAACCGATAAGCATCTATAGATGTCAAAACATTATTTTATTATATGAAGTTTCGTTTTAGGTTTATCTTCGACTTTTATTATATGAAGTTTCGTTTTAGGTTTATCTTCGACTTACCGCGTAGTCCGGGCGGTCTGCATATGTAAGCGATTGAATGTGCTCCAGAAATTGCTTCAAATCTGAAGGCAAATGCTTTAACAATATTCGGTGGTCATATTTTTCCTTTGTCAACCCAACTTGCTCCTTGTCTTTTATTTTTCGCCATGGCAATTGTCCATTTACAAACTCAACGAGCATATAAAACAATGACCACAGATCATCATGGCGTCCCATTTCTCTATTTCGGTGTGCATTAATAGAAGCATAACGAACCGTACCACGAAAACCGGCAGCAGCTCTTGGACACCGCACTTCCCCTGTGCCAGTGGTATACTGACGCGCCAATCCAAAGTCAAGCATATAGACACGTCGACAATTATAAGGCAAACGACCCACAGAAAAATTGCTCTAAAATGCAAAAGAACAATAATTTAGATTTTTTTGTTGACCACCTGGAAAAAATATAAACTTTACAAAATTAATATTACCGGTTTAATATCACGATGAAGAAATCCCACTGAATGAATGGATTCAATGGCCTTTAAAATTTGTAACCCTAACCTAAGTGTTGTACTAAGCGAAAAGGCGCCTCGCGGCTGAGCTCGACGGAGTTCAGCTAAATTCTTTCCTTGAAGCTGCATCACCACGTAGTTAAATCGATCATTCCGCCCGCATCCGATGAATCGACATACGTGCTCCTTGCCCTGCAATTTCTTAAGAACTGCGACTTCCATTTTGAGCACCTGTTTGGGCTGGCGGGCGGACTCCACTTTAAGTGCGACTTGTTCACGGGTAATTAGATCTTGACCCTCGTATATCTCTCCAAAGCCGCCTCCACCAATTTTACGGACTACCTGCAAGGTATACAATTTTAATAAAATGACTACATGTACATATGAAAGTCTATGCTATGAAAGCCTCTGAAAATTAAGGACTATACACGCCTATACACGCATTAAGTATAAAACAGACCTTCCATCGCTCCTTTACAACATGACCTGGCTGCAGCAAATCCTCGGACGTCATTTTGACGGACTCCTTATCCTTGGCTTCTACCAATATTCTGGCCTTTCCGGCGACTGCAACCTGAGTTTGGGGTAGATGAAAATCTGAATCGTGAGCAGGGTGGTTGGACGTTGGGACCTTAAAGGTCACGCGGCTTCGAACCCCTAAGCGGTTGTTTTTTGCTGGCAAAGTTGCTGACCGCTGCAGGACATTTGGGTACCGACACTCCTGTATTGCATTCAAGTCTGCATCCGTATCTGCAAACGCGGCTGAGTTTATCTGATGCAGAAGACGGGTTTGCAGGATGGCACCAACAAGCGGCGGTGGTTTAGATGGGGGTGGCGGGTGAAGCCTTAACAGGTTCTTTTGGCAATTACGGTTAGGAATTAGGTAATGATCCTGGTTGGAAGAAGGCTGACATGATTGATTTCCATCGTCGGGTGCGGCTGCATTTTCGTCGTTTCTAAAAAATAAGTGAATTGCATTTAATTGAAAATTTCCATTTCTACATTATCTTCAAAAACAAAAAAAAAAGGGTGGATGTCCATTCCAATGCATCTTAAGAGCGGCTTACAGGGCGTACTATGCGCCTATAACCCAAAACATCAGTAAATTACGCTATGGCATTGGGATCGTTTTGGGCGATCTATAACGCACTAGGGATGGGAAAAATAAAATAATTTGAAAGAGATAATTTCAAAAGGCACGGCTAAGAATAAAGCTGGAGAAACATCGATTAAAACATCGATGCCCTGATGTTATGTAAAAATCGATATTCAACACATTTTTTTGCTCTGCCCGTATATGAGGATTACAAAAAAGTCTAAACTTTTTTATAAAAAGCGCTGTTCCTTAAGGTTTTTAACCAGTTATTGTAAACAAAAATGTACATATGTACATGTTAATCTCAGATCTCGTAGCTAAGCAGTTCGGAAACTTGTCAAATATATATATAAATATAATTTATAATTTAATTTATAATTTTAAATATAAATAATATTTATATTAAATATAAATAATATTTATATTAAATATAAATAATATTTATATTAAATATAAATATATTTGTGTAAAATAAATACCAATACTTTCATTTTTTAATTTAAAACGAATCCAAGAAAATAATTTTTTGTAATGGAACAATAAACATAACAAAAATAAAATAACGATGATTCGTCTAACTCCCATGGCAACAATAAAATTCGAACATTTTAAGTCTCTTTGATTTCCTTTCTTCACTAAATCAAAATAGACGCTTTACTGTTTTAACATTAAATATTTCGATTAGTTGGTTGTTTTTTAGTTTGGAAGCAAATAACAATTAGAGAGATTTGGATATCTCACGACTATTGTAAATATGTGAACTACACCAAAACATCGGAAGCTATATGAGCAAAATACTCATAAAAAACCAATAGTTGTAATAAACATCATCGTCGTCATTAAATTCGAATTTTATTGTTGCCATGGGAGTTAGACGAATCATCGTTATTTTATTTTTGTTATGTTTATTGTTCCATTACAAAAAATTATTTTCTTGGATTCGTTTTAAATTAAAAAATGAAAGTATTGGTATTTATTTTACACAAATATATTTATATTCGAACATTTTAAGTCTCTTTGATTTCCTTTCTTCACTAAATCAAAATAGACGCTTTACTGTTTTAACATTAAATATTTCGATTAGTTGGTTGTTTTTTAGTTTGGAAGCAAATAACAATTAGAGAGATTTGGATATCTCACGACTATTGTAAATATGTGAACTACACCAAAACATCGGAAGCTATATGAGCAAAATACTCATAAAAAACCAATAGTTGTAATAAACATCATCGTCGTCATTAAATTCGCTTTTTTTCTTAAAACCTTTCTTAACATCCTTCACAGAGAGTGTTTGTTTGAAAATACAGAACAGCTGACAAAAGGCCCACGTCTGATATTTAATGATCAAAGATGCGCAGGTAAACTGCGATACTCACGCGATACCCCATACAGAAAGTACTTGGGAAAAAACGCAACATTTTTCCAAACACTAGGTGAATATGCTGGCACATGTGAGATTTCAACATAAGTAGAGGCAAAAACAACTGTCTTGTAAACAGTCCCTTAAACATTAAGGTACACATATGTATATCTAGGGTATTCCTTTCTGTCCTTTCCCTCAATGTTATTTTTTTTTAAATATTCCTTTAAGTTAGTTTATTACTATTTATTTATTTAACTACTATTTATTTACTACCCTTTAAAGTATTGTACTGTTGTAGCAGGAAATATACCGAGCCTATAACGCACTTGAATTTAGATGTTATTTAAAAATGTTGCACAATTAAAGAGGACACCACTAATATGTTTCTTTCTAACACTTATTTAGTTTATCTACTTACATATGTATCTGTTTGATCACAGCTAATACAAAGTAAAAGTAAGTAAAGTAAGTAAAGGTAATCTACATTTGCAGTTAAGCCGGAAATTAAAGCACAATGAACGGACAGGCATATGGAATTGTATCGATTTTCATGTATTTTGTAGAATTGACATTGGCAGATAATATATAACTTTATCTCGTCTTTAAAACTTTAACGATGTATGTTATATGTCAAAAGTTGTATTCAATACAGCTTATTTATTTTCGAATTCCGTATACGAAGGTAATTAGTTATCCCACCCTTTAAAAGACATCACCTCTCTTGATAAGAGTTTTTACACCACGTCAAAAACCATGCTAATTGGTAAATCGTGTAACATGTATATGACCAGAAATTGAGGATTTAAATCTAATCGTCTTTACAAAATCGGCTCCACAAAATAAAACAAAATATTTGTACGTACATTTTATATTCAAGGGAACTTATGCCCAATTTGTGTGTTGCACATTTCACCCCTGCTTAAATTTTTGTTGGCTGTTAAAACTCGTTTTTTTTTTTTTGGTTTAGTAAACTTATACATACCAGCCGAATATAGATTTCACTTAGAACTTTAAAAGAATTTATTAAATTTTTTTGAAGTTTAAAAGTATCGCTTTCCTAAGAAATTCCTTATATTCGCGGTGTATGACAGGATAAAACACATGCCTCAAATTTCCGTGATGTTTGGTTGGCTTATTTTATTTTGCACACAGTACAACATAAATATAATTAATTATAGAGTTGTTTGATAATGTATATTAAAGTGTTTTCACGGAACAAAATTCATGTATCGATTTGTAAGCTTCAGTGAGCTTTTCCGTCCAAGTAAAGTTCCCTTTTAGTTGAACTCAAAGCCAGCTGACAACAAATAAGCTATCTTTCCAGGAAGGAATTGCGCATGCTCATTATAGTTTCATGCGTCGGGACCTATTCGATTACAGCCGATAAACGAATGATATTCAAAACTCTTTATATTCTTAATTTATGCTACGGATAGAAGATTCTATTAGAGCTAAACATACATATGTATAATGACAAGCGTTTGCATAATTAAATAAGTAGAAATTTAAAAAAAACATAAATTGTCATGCTTATTTTTTCTTTTGGCGGTAAATTTTGAACATTATCGCAGTGCCTACGACCACATGTCATAAATGTTTCTGGTATAGTTATGGTTTTGCTTCATTGTAAAAATCCTTTTGACTTTTATACAATATTCAATTATCGGTCACCCTAATCATTTAATTGTTAGATGTTTAGTGTTTTATCTACGTCTTGATCAGAAAGCAGCTACATATATACATATGTAGCTTATTGGTGAAAAAGCTGTTAGCGCCTATGACCCATATAAACATATAAAAGTTGTTATATAAATATTTTGTGATTAAATAAAACCACCATTTAATAATTATACATAAAAAATATACTATTCAAAATGTAAATTAATTTTAAATTAAATCGTTAGAGTCGTAATGAAACAACAACACAATTGTGTTTAATTATTGTTTATCTCTTTTTTATTGGAACAGTGTGCCTTTTAATTATACCCGTTACTCGTAAAGGTAGATGGTCCGTATGAACGCCTCGATCTCAGGAATTACAAAAGCTAAACTCTTGAGACTAAGCACTCAGCTTCCAGAGAAAATTGTTATCAAATGTCCTACGCCCACTCTAACGCCCAAAACTGTCACGACCACATTTTTAAAAATTGTTTTTCATTTCTTAATTTTATTTGCAATTTTTACAGATATTCCAGAAAATTATGAAATTTCTAACGGGTATCTGATAGTCGGGAAACTCCACTATAGCATTATATATTGTTTTGTTTTTCATTTTACTGTTAGACCATCTGAGGGCCATTTGGAAATAAAAATATTACGTTTAAAGTCGGTTTTTCAGAACATACAAGTAATAAAAAATTATATTTTTGATTAAAATATTAGAAGTTGTTTTCAAATAAAAATCTATTGATTTATGTAAACAATTTAGGAAAAATAGATTTGATTTGGTGATGCGATGATTCGCAAATGGGACTTGTGGTAAAATTAATTTAAAGTACTTGCCCTCGATTTTTTAAATCGTTTATATTTAGATTTGCATTAAATTGTGTTTTACATTACTGCAGACACCAAAGAATTCTTGCAAGGAGTGACATATAATTTTCGTTTTCCTGTAATTGCTCAGAATTTAAGATCGTTTATAATATATTTTTGTCCAAGTTCTTTAAGTTCAAGTTCAGTGGTCGAGTCGATCTTGCCTTGTCCGTCCGTTCGTAAAAACGTTGAAACTCTAACGCCGACAAACGTTTCTAACGCTAAAGATTTCGCAAATTGAAATTTAATTTACATCTTAGCTTACATTCTTTATCTTAGCTTACATTTCCTCATGTCCCAAGAAGCTGTTGCACAATTTAGATAACTTCGCGGTTTTGTGTCTTAGGACCGACTCTAGTCTATATTTATGTAAAGGATTTTTAGACCTGTACTGGTGTACTGCTGTACTACTGTACTGCTTCTGTTCTTGTTAGGGCGTACGCACATATTAGGTTAACTGCAAAAGTTTAACCGATAGAAAAAAAATAGTTTTCCAATCTAATTCCATAGTTTATCCTTGATATTATTATGTCGGACAATGCTTTATTCCCGTCTGACTAAAATAATAATATAATTTGAAGGGAATCGCACTTTATAGAAAATTATTAACACTAATTTTATGGGCCATTTTCGGTTTCCATTTTTGGGTTTTATAATTAAACCATTTGAGTTTAATGTTACATACTATAGAAGTTAAAGAAAGAGTATAAGTCGAAAACATACCTGAGGTACTCCTGCAAATGCATGCTGGCTGCAATCTGTGCTGTTTTTAAACTTGAATATTTCGGAACCTAGATTTCATTTATTTTTTTGTTTCTCTGCTTTGAGAGGTTCAAAATACAATCGATTTGTATCTGTATTTTCAGAACTTTAAGAACATATACAAGTGTGATATTGTTTTCAATTGATTATATGACAAATTTTGAAATAATAAAGGCTTACTCTAGAAGTACGAGCCTATTCATAACTGTAAGAGGGAATAATTTGAGCATGATATAATCATTTGCTTCTTATAATTTGAATGCAAAAATACTTTAAATTGATTGACACAGAATTTTATTCCATTCTTTTATGTAGGATTTTTAAACAATTTATTGTATTTGAAATCCTGTATACAAATATTTAGCTTAGCACACCTTGAGTATCTTCTTTATTTATGATTACGTTTATCTACGCTGTATAGGCAAATGTGTCTATTTTTAAATTCTGATTTAATTATAGAGGAGTTCGGAAGAACTTCGAACAAATATCAACGCGGAATTCACGTGATCCAATTTTATTCATTTGTTCACATGAGCACGTTTGTAGGTATATCTGTGAACTTTTTATTTTTGTATTATTTTTAAAACGATCACTAATAATTTTATTAAAACGAACAGCAAAAGGTCGATGAGAATTTGGTACAATTGAATTGGCCTTTCTAAAATATTTTTTATTGACGACAAACCTTTTGTTTGCACAATAAAAATAAATTACTATCCAAAATCTTCCCAATTGTGTACGAAAGCTTTTACTTAAAAACAAATATATTGCTTCCCGCTGTATCTTTCGGCATACTACGGTAATCAGAAATGAGTGTATATGTATGTAGGTGAAAACATAAACAGCTATCTTTAGCCATTCTTGCAGCCATTTGAGACGATCTGTCCAAGAACGAATTATTTTAAAATATATATGATTTGTGTTCGTATTTAAAGGAAATTAAATTTTTGTAAGGAAAGTCAGGTGTTAGAACGTCACTTTATTTTTGTACATTGCTACGATTATATTCCCTTTCCTTTAATTTCCTCTTTTTCGAACCTTAACAATTAATAAAGTTCTGGAAAGCAAACCGGTACGTAAACATACTAAAACCACGTTCCGGTTCAAACCAGGGCTTATGAAAAGTATATACATATCTACAGCGACGCTCTTGGAAGCTTTCTGAACATGGTTTCTTCAAAGATTAGACAGTCTGGCTAAAGGCAATATTGCGATATTTTTACAAGTTGACTTCAACATCTGATCTAGGCCAGTCAGAGAGTTGCCAGACAGTTATGCGACAGATGTTCAAGCTGCAAAGCCACTTATTTTTCATTTCGCGCCACATTTTAAAAGGCTTATTAATTTTTTGAATACGCTATCGATTATATATGTTTGTATAACTCAATTCAATTATAATAAAGAAAAAAGAAACAAATTTTCTGCAACGTATATCTTGTTGAAGTTGCTAAACAAATCAATGTATTCTTGAATGGTGACTACCCTTAGTAGTCGAGTGGAAGAGCACAAAAAAAAAAAAACAAAAAGAGTTGGAGTTCTGTGGCGTGTTCTGAAACAAACGTGCACAGCGTAGGCGTCACTAGAGTCTAGTCCCAACTTACTAGCTTAATAGTTTTCGAGATCTTATCGTTCATACGGACAGATAAAATGAGAAAATATAGTTTATGTCTCTGGAATCTGCATCTCAGGAATCTCTGAAATCTCGACGTTCATACGGACGAACAGATGGACATGGCCCGATCGACTCGACTAGCTATCACGATAAATTTATAGTCGGAAACATTTTGACCCCCCGATTCACACGATGTTATGATTCACAGCCAACTCATACTTCGCATTTAAAATTAACGTACTTTCGCGGCAATCGATAGTTTTTTCCAGTACTATACAGTTGCCATCACGAATTCTAAGGTCGTGCACCGTAAATCGATCCTAATCGATATTAAATATTGGTTGTAAAACTGGAAAACAAATTAAGGAAATGACTTGAACTAGACAAAATTCCAATAGGTGGCTCTGCTTATTGAATATCAAGGTTTTTTCTATAACCATATAAAAGCACGGCTGCAAGTTTGTTCTTTGCTTGCACTGGTCGGCTTATTCCACAAAAAAATATTGAACGCAAAAAGAAATTATACTTTTTTAATTTTTTTATCTTATACGTTAGTTCAATATGACAAAATAATAGCTATGTGTGTTCATATGTAGCTTGGACAGTACCATATGCTATATGCTAGCGCTAGGATCTATCCATCGTGATAAGAAGATGCATTTCTGGACAAATTGATTTAAACTTAAGAAAGTATCTTGCGTAACATTTATAGATTGATTCTGACACTTTTTTGGTGTTTTGAATGAATTTTAATTGCTTATGTACTCAACGTTTACGTGGGCGTTAGCGTGGGCATGACCACAGTATATTTAGCATATCAATCGAAATTAGCAAAACTAACTGCACTGCCCTCCTAGAAATCATAGTTATAGGTCTCGAGGCGGCTAGGAATTCCGGTTAATAATTTATTTATTTTATATGGTCTATAAAGGTTTGTTTCACCTCTACCACTCGTTTAACACTCCAACGACTAATAGCCCCCTTAAATCCACTATAAAAATGAGTCAGTTAAAAAATTATGATTACGAGCCGAAATTGCGACTCACTAAAAATTCCTAAGCCTAAGATTAGGAAATAGGACCTCTACATTGGAATAAATCGATCGGTTTCAACTAGCATGCAGCATTCTTTCAATTTGAATGTCCTATGTCTGCGAATCTCTGCTTCAGGGACTATTTTCGTGGCCCGATTCCGTATTTGTGTCCGATGCACAATCAAACAAGCTTTGAGTTCCGTCAAGCAAATTTTTTCATGTTTCACAGTGAATTTTCGTTTATTATATATTCTTGTATACTTTATTATTTTTTTAAAGAAGTATTTCATTTTATTTACCAAATTTATTGCTGCAACTATACACGTAATATTTGGTATCTTGAAATACCAGAAAAAAAGTGTAAATTCGTGAGGGTTAAAAATTGAACAACGCATAGTTTTCCGCTTCAAATATCAAACAGAAAAAGGGTTAAAACGTTTAAGTTCTTGTGACAGCTGAACTGATTTTCCGAAGGAACATTTTCGGTGGTGTGGATGGATTCGACGGAGATGGTAATAATGTGCAGTAAAATCAATATTGAAATCAATATAAAAAACTGTACCCAGCAGCAGTTGTTTGTCACCCTCAGTAAAAAAATACACCCCCAAACATATACTTACAAGTGCTAAGTATATACTCGTATGTAGTTGAGTACTAAAAACTTTGATCGAGGTTTACTGCGAATTTAAAATTTAAAATCAAGAAAGGAAGCTTTCCTATAGTATTCCATATATTCCGACTGAAATCAATATACTCTATGCAACACTTGATATTATATCCGTTACTCGTAGAGAGAAAAATTGAGAACAGAATAAAAAAATGAGATCGAGGCCTTAATCATTCTTATAAAAATAACCCTTCTTGATTTCGAGACGAAATGTCAAAAATTTTCAGTCGGAAACAGTATCGGTATTGAAGAATTAGTGAGTTCCCCTGACTGAAAAAATTAGAGATAGAAACAAATTAGAGCCAAATCCTCTCTCGAAGCTATCGGCAACCTATCTATTTTAGCTTCGCCTTCTTGTTGATTAAACTATTACGTTGTTTGTGCAAAGTATTAGTAGTATTATTAGTTAGTATAATCTTTAAGAACATTGTATATACATAAGCCAATGTGAAATGTTGTAAGATATAAGAATAAGGTAACATTTATGTGAAATGTTATTTTGGCTTGGTAATTGGGATCGAGATCGGTTCGTCTCGATAAGGAGATCGGTTCTCCCCGATACCAACTTCTTTTCGTTTCGATAGTAATACGACATTTTCTCAATATCGATAATAATTATCGATAATCATTTGCAGCCTGAGAATGGACCCATTCTGACCCTATAAAGTATATTACATATATTCTCAATAAGGATCTCTAGCTGAGTCGATATAGCTATGACCGTCTGTACGTCCATCTATATGGTCATCCGTCTGTCTAGAAAAATGTCACGCCCCAAAAATGTTTTAATACTTTTGGCATTTTATTATTTATATTGTCTATATGAAATACCCTATTATTAATTGCAGCGATAATGAAACAAATGCATTTTAAACATTTTGTCCAAACAAGCATCTGATTACTGTGCGCTGCAAGAGAGTGACACCTGTTGGCCACTTGTAACCCTACTTGAATTATGACTTTTGGATTAATAATTATCCAAATCTCTGCCATTTATAAGTATATTACTACATTTATTATTACTCTTACCAAAAATAATATTGCATATACATAGTTACGCCAGTCGCACCAAAAGGTTGCTTGGCTTTTCATTACTGTTAACATCGCCTAGTTTTATAATTTTTCGTTTGATATAAAATAATTGGTTTATCCTGCACTCGCAGCTGACTCGATTTTTACCTGCAATGGCAGAGCTCCGATCGTCCTTTCTTGCTACAGTCAGGGTCAGTGGGCACCAGAAAGAAGAGTGGACTACAGCGGGAAAAGCATTCCTCAAAGCGACAAGTAGGCACATACATACATAAATGCTGCGTGCGTACACACACTGACATACATACCATGCTCCCGCTGTGTGCCCACATACATGCATACATCCATCCAACCATGCATACACACTACATACATGCATACATTTGTACATTCCATGGGCACTGGGGATGCTTCACGTTCATCACCGTGGATGATCTCGTTTTTTATGTACCTACCTAAGCACATACATACAACGCCGAGTTTTTTGTTTTCGCTTTTTTAATTTTTTACTCAGGGTGGTGGTGTTCCGACTGCACAAGCAGGCGGAAGGAAGGTGGCAAAAAAAAGCCCACTTCGCCCGATTCTCTTGGTCTCGTGCCCAGGACCCAGGTCCCCGGTCCCCGGACCCAGGTCCTTTTCTCCGTTACTGGTCCCCGTACCCTGTTTTCGACGCGCACTTTGCCTTTCCTCTGCACCACCACCAACTTCATTATAATTTTGTCGGGGTAGTTTTTTTTGTTCGCTCGTGACGGTGGTCCGCAACGTTGGTTCGAGAATACGCTACGCGGTGGATGGCACATAGAACTGGATTTGTGTGGACTCGAAGGGAATTCAGTTGAGACCAAGCTCAACCACGAGAATGGCACCCCCAAAGTTTTTTGTCGGTCTGTGAAAAATTGGATAAAAAATTCTTGGCAGTTTTAGCATCTGAAATTTCCAGCATTGAATTATGGAAAATCGATTTTTCGGTCTTGCAAAAATGAAAGGACATCTACCCTCGTCACATCGATATGTATTCAAGCATGCATACATACATGTGTGCAAATGGCCAAGAGTATAGGCGTTCTTGATTTGTGTACATTTTGCAATTCATCGGACTTACATATTTATGTAACGATGCTTCTACTTATTAGCGATGCCGCCTGATATTACAACTGCGTTCTGAGCGAACATTTGTGGCAATATGGAAAGAGTGTAAGTCCGCTTGGCCGTTAATAAAAGTAGACATAATTTCATTAATATTTAGGACGGTGGGCTTCACAGAACGCACTAAATCAGATGTAGGCGGTGGTCACGATCTGCCCCATTCCAGGAAAGCAATAATTATTTATTAATAAATACTTATCTGAACGTGAAAAGGTAAGCAAACGTATAAATCAAATATCCATACGGCGAATAATTGCAATGATTCCTCGTTTAAAGCAAAAGGTTGATTTTAAAATGCATGATCGTAAATGCATTTTTTAATCACGCTTATTAATACAATTTATTTAAAATACCAATAGTAAAGACTGATTATAACTGCAATTACCGATTCTTTTTAAAAAGTCATGCTATACCCGTTAATCGTACAGTAAAAGGGAATACTAGATTCGTTAAAAAGTACGTAACAGGCAGAATGAAGCGTTTCCGACCATATAAATAATAAATATTCTTG